TCCCACTTTCCAGGAGCCAGATACCAGCTCCCAGCCTGCAGTCAGACTGCCACTGCTGCTCCCGACGTCGATCAATTCTTATCAGCATATAAAACACAACTCCCTCGAACCCACATCTCCACAGTAAACTACAAGTTGATCCTGTTGTTTCCAGTTCCCTTCCAGGTTTTGATTCTGAGTGAGATGAGAAGCTGTTGGACGGTTTTGCAGAGAAATGACATTACAAGAGTTTTTACATTTTAAAAGACTACTCTGGCTGTGGTATAAGAGACCAGACTATAGAGCAGTGGTCTCCAAACTTTTTTTGCACCAGGGAACAGTTTCCTCAATATTTTCACAGACCAGGGAAAGGGGGATGATTTGGGGATGATTCAAGTGCATTACATTTATTTATTATGCCACTGCTGATCTGACAGGAGGCAGCGCTCAGGTGGTAATGTGAACAGTGGGGAATGGCTGTAAATACAGATGAAGCTTTGCTGGCTAGCCTGCCACTCACCTGCTGTGTGGCCAGTTTCTAACAGGCCACAGACCAGAACTGGTCCACGGCCTAGGGGCCCCAAACCCTTGATCCCCAAAAGATCAATGGTTAAATCAGGGTCACTCAGGGCTATTACTACTTAATGATGGATTGGACTCAGATGATAGCAATGTAAGTGGAGAGTGGGTGGGTAGGTATTTTTGAAAATCTAATAAAAAGTGGAGAAGGAAATGGCAACCACTCCAGTACTCTTGCCTGGAAAATCCCATGGAAAGAGGAGCCTGGTGGGCTATAGCCCATGGGGTCACAAGAGTCGGACACGACTTGGTGACTAAACCACCACCAATGAAAAGTGGGATCCCATGTTCTTCAATGGGAAAACTCAACATTAAAAGGGTGTCTGTCATCCCTATGCTAATTTATAAATTTAATATTCCAATAAAATGCCAATAAGTTTTTAAAAGAAATTAGGCAAATGGATTCTAAAGTTCATATGGAAAAATAAGCAAGAATGGTAAACAAGTAAAATGATAATGTGCATAGTGCTTATTTGGTGTCACTCTGTGCGTTTAACGCAACAACCCTGTGAAGTACTACTATCAGCCATTCTAGATGAAGAACCTTGAGCCCAGAGTAGTTAGATCACTTTACCAAGGTCACACAACTACTAAGTAACAGCCTGGATTAACCCCAGGCAGACTGATTCTGAAGCCTCTTGACCTAACCAACAAATGAAAGAATGAGGAGGGATCGCACCTTCTATTTTAAAATATTATAAACCTTTAAATATCTAAGTCTACCAGTGCACGAATGGACAGACCAATGGAAAAGAAGGTAAAAGTACAGAAAGAGGTCCTAAATATATATGGGGATTTAGTGTTGAAAAAGGTGATGTTTCAAATTAGAAAAAGAAGATTCAATAAATGGTATTGACAACTGAGTTACCATTGGTGGCAAAGGATGAGTGAGTTAGCATCACAGACTCGAGGGCATGAATTCGAGCAAACTCTGGCAGTAGAGGAAGGAGGAGCCTGGCCTGCTACACTCTGTGGGATCGCAGAGTCAGACGCGACTTCGTGACTCAACAACAGCATCCATCTGGAAAACATAAAGGTACATCCATACCTTACCTAATAAATTTTAAGATGAAAATTTTAAGATGAAGACTTCAAATATTATGTACAATATTACATATTACTGAATACATGAGATACAAGTAAATGTGTAAAATGTTACATTACAAAGTTTCTGAGAAATATTAGAGGTCCCTTGGGAAGTGATGTCAGGTTCATATTGGCTCTTCTCATGGTACAGAGCTGGAGTCTTACCCAAGGGATCATCCATCACTTAACAGCTGTGAAATTCTAATCATGTGATACTGGAGCAATTGGATACCCAAAGGGGTGGGGTGAGGGGCCTCAAACTAAGTTTTGATACCTGACACAAAAATCAACCCAAAATGGAACACAGACTTAAATGTAAACCTAGAGAACTTTTAGAAAAAGCACAAGAGAGAAGTTTTCAGGATCTAGGGCTAAGAGTTCTTAGACTTGACTCCAAAAGCCTAAGAGGATAAACGGGTAAGTTGGACTTCATCAAAGTTAAGAATGTTTGCTCTGAAAAAACAAAACAAACATGTTAGGATGAAAGGACAAGCTATAAACTGGGGAAAAAATATTTGCAAGCCACATATAAAGGAATAGTATCTAGAATATATAAAAAAATTCCCAAATTTCAACAGTAAAAAATCCAATTAGGAAATGGGCAAAAGACATGATCAGAAATTTCAATGAAGAGGGTATACAGATGGCAAATGAGCATATGAAAAGATACTTGACATAAATTAGCCATTAATGGAGTGGAAATTAAAACCACAATGAAATATCACTACATACCTATCAGGTTGTCTAAAATAAAAAAATAGCAACTACACAAAATGCTGATGAGAGTGCAGAGAAACTGGATGATTCATATATTGCTAGTGGGAATGTAAAATGGTATGGCCACTCTGGAAAACAATGTGGCAGTTTCTTTTTTTTGTGTGTGTGTAATAAAGTTTTATTAAAGTATAAAGGAGATAGAGAAAGCTTCTGACATAGGCATCAGAAGGGGGCAAAAGAGTACCCCCTTGCTAGTATTAGCAATGGAGTTATATACTCTCCAATGAATCTAAAGAATGTCTGGAGGCTGCAAAGACCTCACCAGACCCACTCCCATAATTTACATTTTAAGATAACAGGATTAGCCAGAGGGTTTAATCCAAAGACTGTCCTCAGGCAGGGTACATTATTGTTATATAATCCTAAGGAATGTAGAGGAAAAAAAAGTTGAAAAGTTTGTCCTTTCTTCCTCCTTGAATATCCCAGACCTCTCTCTCCTTGGGGACCCCTAGACTTCTTATCAACCTGCCTAGGAAATGACTCATTCCCCCCTTTTCTTTTAGGAGAATTATGTTGCCTAGGGAAAAGGGGTGTCGTTCTCATTCCATAACTGCTTCCGAGCTGACAAGGGGCGTTGTCCCTAAATTGGTGAGGCACCATATTCTCCTAATCCTCATACTGAGGATGTCTGATCCAGGGGCTCCAAGTAATAGTTGGAGGAGGCTGTGGCACTCATAGAGGCTCGGACAACTATTTGTAAAGTAAAAGCTTTTAGACGGTTAGAAAACCCCATTATACAGTGATAGATGTAAGGCAAAATAATCATTAAACCAAGTTAAAATCAAAATGAAAAGTCACATTATGGCCATAGTTACATCAGTCCATCTTAAGGTTGTTAGATGTCATCAGTTTAGGAAGAGTCATTACATGCGATTGTTGAAAGTATTTGCAGACTTGGAGAAAGTCTTTTCTTTGAAGGGGATATGTCCTCCATGGGACGCCTTTCACGGATGAAGAAGGGAGTGGTCCACAGACCCAGCAGTTAGACTGTGGAATGCAGCATAGGAGTGAGCCCAGGACAGGAAGGCATTGTCTTGAGGATCAAACGGCAGACTCAGGATTTCTGGAGTCAGCAGAAGTAGGCGCACATGGATTATCAGGCCCATCTTGTCTTGAAGGATCCCGGACGAGCCCCCAAGATGAAAGGTTGTTGCTGAACGATTAGACGCGGGATTCTTGGCCTCCGGAGGAGACGAATTCAATCCAGGGCCAGAGACGAGGCTGGATCGCTCAGAGCTTTTGTGTAATAAAGTTTTATTAAAGTATAAAGGAGATAGAGAAAGCTTCTGACATAGGCATCAGAAGGGGGCAAAAGAGTACCCCGGCAGTTTCTTTAAAAACAAAACATGTAACTGGTTTATGACCCTGCATTACACTCTTAGGCATTTATTCCAGAGACATGGTAGTTTGTGTTCACACAAAAATGTATAGATATGTTTATAGTAGCTTTATTCGTGGTAGTCCCCAAATGGAAACAACCCAAATATCCTTCAGTAGGTAAATGACTACACAACGTATGGTTTCATTTTATCCACAACTTTTTATTTTGCACAACGTTATTGCAATGAAAAGGAACATGGATACAAGAACTTGGATGTATCTCTAAAGGATTATGCTAAGTGGAAACAAATAAAAAGGTTATGTACTGTATGATTCCATTTATACAACATTCTCAAAAGGAAAAATAGTTATAGAAATGGAGGATTAGTAGTTGCCAAGGGAAGTGGGTGTAGCTATAAAAGGGCAAATGAGGGCTCCTGGAAGTATGGAAATGTTCTGTATCTTGACCATCAGTATCAACATTCTGGTTGTGATACTGTAATACAGTTCTACAAGATATTACCACCGAAAGAAACTGGGTAAATAGTACACAGGATTTTGCTGTACTATATATTACAACATACGTATCTACAATTCATATGGGATTCCCTGCCCCTCAGGCTTAACACCCTCCAGTGGTTTTCCACTGTGCTTAAAATAACAGATCCTGGATCCTATGATCTTGTCCGCCTTCCAGGATCACTAGGTTCCCTTCAGGCTTTCTGTGATCTATCAACACTGGCATTCTTTCAGTTCCCACACCAGACCTATTCCTGTAATCCACTAGAGGGCTTTTGTAAACCCTGTTCCCATCTGTACTGTGTCCCTCTTTCTCTCGGATTTCTACTACGTAACTCACAATTACCCCCTCAGACCTCAGATGAAGTCTCACATCCTTAGGACGACCTTCCCCAACCTCTTCAAATCAAATTTTCCTGTAAGTTCTTGCCTTGTTTTCCTCCACATCCACGGCCGCACTTTTGCATTTCATTGAATGATTACTTGATTAAATAGGTAGCTGTACAAGGAGAGGAACTGTATCTGTTAATCTCACTGCAAAGCTGCTAGCTCCGCACCTCAAACGCTCAGTAAGGACAGTGTTTTTGGATCGAATGAAAACGCCCAGCCCGGCGCGGCGGTCCCTGCGCCGCAGCGTCATACTAGTGCCGCGCGTGGTATACGTCACTTCCTCCCGGAAGACACTTTCTTCAGGAACCACTCAGATTCCAGTCACTTCTCAGAATCCTTCTGTGGTGGCCATGGCTCTGCCACCCTTCTTCGCTCCGGGTCGCCCCGGCCCGCCGCCCCCGCAGCCGCCGCCTCCCGCTCCCTTCGGCTGTCCGCCGCCGCCACTACCCTCCCCGGCCTTCCCGCCGCCTCTTCCCCAGCGGCCTGGCTCCTTTCCGGGGGCCTCCGCCCCCTTCCTCCAGCCTCCGCTGGCTCTGCAGCCCCGGGCCCCCGGGGAAGTCTCCCGCGGGGGCGGCGGAGGTGGCGGCGGCGGCTCCTTCTACCCGGTGCCGCCACCTCCGCTGCCTCCGCCGCCGCTCCAGTGCCGGCCCTTCCTAGGGAGCGACGCCGGTGAGCGCCCGCGGCCGCCGCCTCCAGGCCCGGGGCCGCCCTGGAGCCCGCGCTGGCCTGAGGCACCGCCGCCGTCCGACGCGATCGGGGACGCGGCCCTGCAGCGCCTGCGCGACCGGCAGTGGCTAGAGGCGGTGTTCGGAACCCCGCGGCGGGCCAGCGGCTCGGTGCCCCCGCGCGCGCCCGCCGGGCCCAGCCTGGGCGAGGTGCGCGCCCGGTTGCGGGGGGCCCTGCGCCTGGTGCGGCGGCTGCACGACTTGGGCCAGGCCCTGCGCGAGGCCGAGGCCGACGGCGCGGCTTGGGCGCAGCTGCATGCGCAGGCACAGCCGCTGCGCGCCGAGCTGGCCGAGCGGCTAGAGCTGCTGACCCAGGCCGCTTACGTGGGCGAGGCGCGGCGCCGGCTGGAGAGGGTCCGGCGCCGCCGCCTGCGGCTTCGCGAGAGGGTCCGGGAACGCGAGGCCGAGCGGGAGGCGGAGGCCGCGCGGGCAGCTGAGCGCGAGCAGGAGATTGACCGCTGGAGGGTCCAGTGCGTGCAGGAGGTGGAGGAGAAGAAGCGGGTAAGAGCAGCGGACGCTCGCGGGGGCCCGGATAGTGGTGTTTGACACCTGAAGGGGCGTGAGGCTTTGCACTGTCATTTCTCAGCTTTAAGCCTCTTTTTCCTCTTCCGTAAAATCAAAAGATAGTTTGTCTTTCCTACCACATATCTCCATTTTGGTTGCGAGTTAATAGTGTATAGTGTACACAGTACAGATGCTCTGGGTGCCCTGCAGAGTCTCATGAATACCAAGTATAGGATTACGCAGTGATCTTACGGGGATGATAATGTTTCTTGCTCCATCCTTCTGTCCACTTAGTAACATTCAAGACGAACAAGCTTCTGGTCCTTGCGTCTTGTATTGCTCTAGGTGGTTTTAAGAATACAAAAAAAAAAAAACAAAAACAAAATAAAAAGAACTTTGGGCCATTTCTCCAGGAACATATACCCTGATTGGCTGATGGGCCAATAGTGATGATTTCCCCAGATTCCTTTGTTTACAAGTTCAACTGTATTCTCAAGTTCAACAATGGTATTTTTGAGCACTTACTATATACTAGACACTATGCTGCCTACAGTCCTCACTTGCAAATGCCAGATCTTGTAACAACCCTGAGAGGTAGGCAGTATTATCCTAATTTTGCAGATTAGGTAATTGAGGCATAGAGAGATTAACTTGCCAACAGTCACACAACTGGTTTGGGGGCAGTTTCACTCCAAAGCCTACTGACCTCAAGTTCTTAAGTAGAGGGCAAGGGTGAAACTGGAAATTGGTCAGATGTTATAATTAAGGCATCCTCATTACTTTTGAGCTCCTCAAGGAACTTCCCCTGTCCTTTCGCTCTCCACAACCAGCTAGTATTTCCTCCCTTCTCCTATCTGCCACAGCCCTGAGTCTGATCCACCTCCCCTGTGAAGTGTATTGATGGCAAGCTTTGTCTTCACACCTCCAGGAACATATCAGTGCCTTAAAGGAGAGACAGTACTTTAATCTAAGGGAATTTGAGCCAGTTCAATAGACATTTAATGAGGACCTACTGGGGTTGGCTCACTACTCGGTGCTGGAGATAGAGATGAATAGGCCATAGACCTTATCCTTGAGGGGCTTAGAGGACTATGGGGGATCGTGTCTGTATAGCATGGTGTGTGTTGGGATTTCAACTGGAGGTTGGGGGAAAAGTATCAAGGAAGGCATCCCAGATGATCCAGTGACATCTCAGCTGAGTCTTATATGAAATGTCCAAGCCAAGTGAAAGCAACATGTACAGTTCCAGGAACAAAAGAGTGAAACAGCGTGGTGTATCTGTAATGGTGAAATTATAGTGCTCATTTAACAGATGGGAAAGAGCTTTAGTCAAAAGGATCCTCCCTACCACCCACTGCAAGGGTACTAGAGAGGGAGTCCCGTGAGTAGTGACTTGAGGAACCAGGGTTATTTAGTCTCCATGTGAACCAGTTTAAGAAGAGTAAGAGTGGGTTTTCAGACATTGGAAAGGCTGTCCCATCAAAGATGTTAGACCAGCGGTGCATAGGCTGTGCTTAAGTGTCACTGAGAATGCTGGAGTCGGGGCCTTTCTGACCCCGTTCCTCATCCTCCCTGCTAGTCCGAATCTTTGCATCTAGGAGTCTGCATTTTTAACGACAGAGCCCCAGCTTGGCAAGGTAAGTTGGATGCAGATGTTCCTTGAACCACGCTTGAGAAACTCTGAGGAAGAAACAAAGACAAGGGCCCAGGTGGAAGCTGCAGAGAAGATAATCCCTGGGCTGGAGCAGTGTAGAGGGGAGTGGTGCTCGGCCCCCAGAAACTGGGATGTTGATTCAGTGGAGTCTTTCTTAACCCTGGGACCACCCGATCCTCTGAAATCTCAAGCCCAGGCAGCTTTTCTCTGTTGTAAGGTTGTTCCTCTTTAGGTTCCATACTAGGTCTCATGGCTTCTCTTTCTCTTTCAGGAGCAGGAACTTAAAGCTGCTGCTGATGGTGTCTTATCTGAAGTGAGGAAGAAACAAGCCGACACCAAAAGAATGGTGGATATTCTTCGGGCCTTGGAGAAATTGAGGAAACTTAGGAAAGAGGCTGCGGCAAGGAAAGGTAAGCACGACTTTGCATTTCTTCTTTTACTTTACCCTGGCACCTCCCCGTCCCCAAAGCGTTTGATAGAAAAATGCTTGGTACTTCATGATTTTCACCCACTAGGGTAACCTAAGCTTATCAGCAGTACCTCAGAACTTTTGAAGCAGGAAGCCTCAGGTGTTTAGCCCTGGGTAGCCAAAATTCAAAAGGGTGTGGAAGCCCACTGCCTCACGTTCCTCTTGACTCACCATTCCCATCCCAGGCTCTCCTGGCTACACTTTCCTGAGTGAGTTTGGCATGGCTGGTCAACTTTGCCCATATACCAAGGGGAAAGCTACCCTGTCTTTACTTGGTGCTTCAAAAGGTGTCAAAAACTTATCATGCTCTTTCAGATACATTTCAAACCTGAAACATTGCTATTTGAAAATGTATGAATGGTTAGACGGGGCGGGGCGTGCCCTGCAAATTGCGTGGGTGTCCCTGACTCACCTGCAAGTCACTTTTGGACCTAGAAGACCTCAGTAGTCTCCTCTGGACTCTAGGGGGAGCACTGGTTTGCTTTCCGTTTGCTGCCTGGATCTTTGCTCTTGCCAGTCTGCTTGTCTGGAGGGCCCTCAGTCCCATCTTTCCCATTTAAGCTCTCACTCTCCTTCAGAAGTAAACACAGATGCAGCATCATCCACCCTTCCCTGCTCTGGGCTGAGGTGACCTGCTGCTCCTTTTCATTTGCACCTGGCTGGGTCAAAGCGCTGCCTTATTTAGTAGGCCATTGTCATTCACCAGGAATAGATTGCGCAAATTAGCAAGTACCACAGCAGCAAAAGATTTGTCCTGTGTGGTTTAAAATATAATTGAAAACTGCAACTCAGACCCTTCATAAACTTTCTTTGGGATATGTGCATTCTGTCCGCTCATTCACTAGCTAAGTGATTAGCTTCTGCATGCCCAGCCTCCAGACTGGCTGATTCAGATTCAGGTCTCAGAATCAGATGACCCCATTCAAGAGTCAGAGTGGTGTTTGCATCTACTGTGTCTACCTCTTTCTTTTCCTGACAAAAATTGCAAAACCTGAGGGCTACTATTTAATATTCCCCTACTTCATGTCTTCCATGAGGTATGTTCAGTAAATTTTCATCAAGTGAATTCACCAGCATAATTTCTCACTATTAGCCTTCCTCACTTTCCAAAAGAAGGGTGAAATTTTAGGAGAAATTATGATCTAAAATAAGCTGACTCTTTGGAATTGCCTTGAGTATAAAACAAGTCAGTCTAGTAACTGGGTTTGTTGGATACTTTGAAAGAAGAAGTGCAACTTTCTAATTTCTCTTTAAGGCATGTGCTTCTCCAATTACCTACTGAGAAAACGAAGCTGGTTATGTAAGTAGGGACAAGTTGTAAAGAGTCTTATGGACTGGGATTAGATGTCTCACCTATGCTGAAAGCTGAGTGGAACTATTGAAAGACTTTTAGCAGAGAGTGAAATGATGACAAAGATTAGTGCTGGCAAGTAGAGGAAGATTTGGGGCTTCTAGGAGGGAGGAGAAAAGAGAGACTGATAGGCTACTGTTGTCTGGGCATGGGTAGTATGGGAGTGTGACATAAGGGTCAGATGGTGAGTTGGAGAAAAGTTTATGGATTTAAGAGATGTGAGTAGTGTGTGTGAAGTACGTGTATACACATAAGTAAATAACTTGGGGAGCTCATGTGGGAGCTGAAGGAAAAAATGACTTTCAGGTTCTAGCTTGATCTCTTAAATGAATGATGGTACTGTTCTAATTGACCAGGAAAAACAGGAGCGGGAACAGGCTCAGGGCTGATGAGTTTGGTTTAGGACCTGTTGAGTTTGAGATGGCCTTGGGGCATTCTGGATAAGAGTTTATTAGCATGTAGCCATAAATTGGAATCACCTTAAGGAGATTGTGTGGTATGAGATGAGGGTCAAAAACACAAAATCCTAGGAAATGTCAAAATCAAACTGGGTAAGGAGGAGACTACAAAAGCAATCAAGAGAGATAGGAGGAAAGTGTAGACCTCCTGGGGCTTCCCAGGTGGTACTAGTGGTAAAGAATCTGCCTGCCAGTGCAGGAGATGTAAGAGACACAGGTTCGATCCCTGGGTCGGGAAGACTGTCTGGAGGAGGGCATGGCAATTCACTCCAGTATCCTTGCCTGGAGAATCCCTTGGACAGAGGAGCCTGGTGGGCTGCAGTCCATAGGGTTGCAAAGAGTCAGACACAACTGAAGCGACTTGGCATGCGCCCATGTAGACTCCCTGCTTTCTTCTGGAAAGTTGGAAATGCTGAAAGAGATTGTGTAATAATGAGTAGGTTACTTTAACTTCTCTGTACCTTGATTTTTCCTCACCTGTACGAAGGAAATAGTGATAGTACCTATCCTTGGGGTGTTGCAATGATTAAATTAGTAAACATACATAAAGTGTTTAAAACCATCCTGGCAAATGTTTAAGTGTTTCTTCCTATTATTATTAGCATCACCATCAAGTAATATGAAGATTAAGGGCTATCCCTAACAGATCATTAGTGACCTGTGCGGGGTGCATTTCAGTGGGGCGGCATGAGTAGAAGACAGACTAGACAAGATCAAAGAGGGAATAGGAAATCAAAAAAGCAAACAGTGAGTCCAACTCACTAAAAGTTTGCCTGTGAAGGGAAGCAGGAGGGATAGTTGATGGCTTGAGGTCCTATAGGAAGTAGGGAGATTCAGATCCTGGATGGAGGTGTTCACGTCAGTGGAGAAGGAGCCATTTTCCACTGGAATGAAAATGAAGAGGGCTAGGATGGGTAGTAAGGCAAATGAGCAAAGTCAGGGGAAGAAAATGTTAAGGAGTTTCCTGCCTGATGGACTCTTCTTCTCTAGGGAAAATGCTAGATGTGTTGCTTAGAGTAGAGAAGGAAGGCTTTAGGAGAGCAGTTGCGGGTTTGAAATACTTGCTGTGAGGAACGAATGCGAGCCAACCGGAGAGGCCTGGGAATGTGGCTGCAGAGAGGTGCTGAGTGGGCAGAGCTGACAGAAGCGTACACTGGCCCCAGTCCCATAGTGGCGGGTGCATTTGGCAGGTGAGCACAGAGCACAGGGCTGTTGGGTTTTGCTTTGTGGGTGACCACACGTTTTGGAGAAATCTGATAGTCTGGAGGGGTGTTTTTGTTGGTTTGTGTTTTGTTTTGTCTGTTTTTAATTTTTTTTTGACTGCACTGCATGGCATGCAGGATCTTAGTTCCCCAGTCGGGATTAAACCCATGCCCCCTGCAGTGGAGGTGTAGAGTCTTAACCACTGGACCACCAAGGAATTCCCATAAAACCTCCCAAGGAGGTTTTAGTGAAACTGATGGAGTCTCAGGTAGAAAGCCAGAGAAGAGAATAATTGGATTTAAGACTTCAGGGGGTGGAATCTTTTTGCTAATTATGCCAAGGTCCGAAGAGTGGGCGAGGCCCTAAGGTGTGGGTGGCCTCAAGGGAAATAAAGGGGAATAAAGGAGAAGGCATTGGTATCTGGGAGCTGCCCGAACTAGAGAAGTAATGGTAGACAGTGGAAGGATCTCACCTAACCCAGATCATGTCAGTGGAGGGGGTCTGGAAGAGGGTTGGTGGGGAATGCCATTTCAGAGGGAATGTGGTGAGAAGTGATCCGTGAAGGGCTGAGGAATGTGAGCGTGGGTGGTGCGGCCCAGCAAACTGAGATGGGAGCAGGCCACACCTTCTCATGGGTCTGGAGGTGCTTTGGGGCTGATGGATTAGCTGTATATTTTTGCTGTACTGGCAGATTTTAGTTTTTGTAGCAGAGATTGTATGATCCACAAGCCTAAAATATTCAATGTCTGGCCCTTTATAGAAAAAGTTTGTCAATCCTTGGTCTAGGTAAAAAATGAAACAAAACCATGAACTCATTACAAAGCAACAAAATGACAGTTTAAATTTCTGAGTACATAAGAATTTTGTGTGTATTTGGTAAATACTTATCAACTTAGTAGAAGATGGATTTGAGTTGTAGAGTTTCCATAAGTGGGAATGAGTGGATGAAAACTTGTTCAAGCAAAGAAATCCTAACAAAATGATCTGAAGAACCATTAGCCTTGGAGATGAAGAGTGAATTCCACAGCCATTTAGTTGCAGTAGTTGAGGAAGAAAAGAATTAGACCTCCAAATCAAGGTGACCTACCTTCCCCAGGACACTGGGTTTCCAGTGCTAAAACTGGACAAATGAAATAGTTGGTCCTGCTACTCTCATTAGCAGCCTGTGAGGTTATTGTGGTTGGTTAAGTGTATTTCTTTCTCACTGCTCAAGTGTGCACTCTCAGAAGTTTAGATTCAATCAGAGGGAGAATTATTTATTAATTGGGTCTAGGTGTCTGTGCTGTTTTTATAATGAAGAAATAAGAGTTCCTCCCTTTAGTAAAGGAACTGTCCAGCTGAAGGGTCAAAAACATTAGAAATAAACAAAATCAAAGGTTAAGTGGTGTGATACAGAAGGAGGAGTTAGTGAAACTCAGGGTAGGGTCAAATTAATTGAAGACTCAGAAAGGTCAAATTGAGCCTCGAAGATTGGTCAGAATTTGTAAACTCTAACCAAACTCGTGCTGGAAGTAGGACTTTGAGTCTGCTCCTTAGAATACGGATTTGGGGACAAGAAGAGGTTGTATCTAAAAACCATTTGGATCTCGTTGCCCAGGGGTCTGTCCTCCAGCCTCAGCAGATGAGACTTTTGAGCATCACCTTCAGCGACTGAGAAAACTCATTAAAAAGCGCTCTGAACTCTATGAAGCTGAAGAGAGAGCCCTCCAAGTTATGTTAGAAGGAGAACAAGAGGAAGAGAGGAAAAGAGAATTAGAAAAGAAACAGAGGAAAGAAAAAGAGAAATTTTTACTTCAGAAGCATGAAATCGAGTCCAAGTTATTTGGGGATCCAGGTAAGTTCCTCTGTAGCCAGTAGAGAAAAGAAAAATACTAGATTGACAGCTCTTTTGCTCATGGATGATCTCCACCTAAGCTAAGAGGTGGTAGACGACAAGTGACACGTTTAGGATTTGAATTCTAAATGATATCCTGGAAATCAGGGATGATGGTGAGACACATTTGATCATATTATATAATCATAGAGTAAGTCACTTTGCCTTGAGAAATATGCTCTACACGCTAAGCATGATGACACGGCATGGTGCGTTTTCTTTTTCAGATGAGTTCCCGCTCGCTCATCTCTTGCAGCCTTTCCGGCAGTATTACCTCCAAGCTGAGCACTCCCTGCCAGCACTCATCCAGATAAGGTCAGAGGGGCATTGTCCACGTCTTCTTTCCTTTAGGTAGCAACAGGCAGTGCTTATGTTCTTGGGGTCTGTTACTATATCTTTTTTTTTAGTTCTTATGCATTTATGTAATGTTTCTAAGTTTGAAGGATGCCGCTTACATCTTGTTTAGTCCTCATCAACTCTTGAGAAGTACATGTCCCCTAATCTGCAGTTACTAATGAGCTGGGTAAAGTTTTTAGCTCTGAGCCTCACTTCCCCTACCTGCAAGGTGCAAATGGAGGATTAGACTGTGGCCTTCAAATGTGAACAGTAGTACCCTCCCAGATGCAGTCTTTTGAGAAATCAGTTTGTATAACAGAATGAATGAATGGGTTCCATGGGCAGCTTAAATCTGTTAGTGACTGGAAGCACCTTGTTGTTTCTAGACTCCCCAAAGCATCTCCTTGAATCTAAGGGTCTTCAAAGCCCAGTTTGAAAAACTGCTGAACCAAGTGATCTTTGAGGATCCTTCCAAAGGTCCAACAGTGGTGTTCAGCAGTGTTCTGGGAAAAGTGTATTTGTGGCTAATATACAAGTTTTAGCCTTTAAATATATTACAGTTGATTCTCGTTATTCATAGGAGCTGTATTCTATAAAGCTGCAAATGCTGAATTAGAGGATGTTGAACTGCTGCTCCTAAAGGAAAAGTAGAATTATATTCCTGTGAGCCTCTGGCCGTAACATTTCATCAACCAATCAATATATAAATTTTCTTTCTTTTTTTTAAAGACACCTTGTTTAATATATATCTTTGATCCTTTAACATTGAACTCATTAACATATAACTCATGCCTGAAGGTAGCTTATCTAACATACATCTATTCTCCATAAGGCATATTGCAGCCTTCTCATGCTAGCTTTAGCACTCTAGCACTATACTTGGGAGCCATTTTAAACAACGAAATGCCAATAAAAGGCACAAAAATGTGAAGAATGTTGTCCTAAATAGACTACAGAAAGGACACTTGTTTACAACAGGAGAGCTGAAAACAAGGAGGCAGAGTGTCACCGTGTTCCACTGCAGTGGGGAACACGCCCTTTGGTGGCTCAGGTTTTTCACTGCTCTGTGCCTGTCAGCAGGTAACCATGGAAGCACCATGAGTAATGATTTGGGAGGTTACACATAAATTTTAGTGAGTAGGCAAATTTGCAAATACAGAATCTGTAAATAATGAGGATTGACGCCATATTCATTATTTGGTTATCCATAAAATACAAGTTCTTTGGAGTTTTTTTCCCCATTTGTGTGTACATTAGGAAGCAGTCTTTTGCATTATTTCTAGAAATTAAGTTCTTTAGCGGATTCATATCAGTCATTTGAAAGCAGAGTCCTGAAATAGAATACTTAGTTGCTAACATCTTGCTTGGAATAAAACAGAAATAAACAGTTGTTCTACAATGTTCTTATTAAGGCATGATTGGGATCAGTACCTGGTGCCATCTGATCATCCCAAAGGCAGCGCCATTCCTCAAGGATGGGTCCTTCCTCCGCTCCCCAGCAACGACATCTGGGCAACGGCTGTTAAGCTGCATTAGTAAAGATACTCCAGGAGTGTCATCCAGCCAAGACTCTTTCCAGCTCGAAGTATCAGTGATCCTGGCGTCTTGTACAGTAGACCAGACGCCATGTGGCATTGCCGTACCCAGAAGTTACATTTTTCTTCTGTCCTCTGTCTCAGCCAGAGGTGCCTCTTGAATCAGGAGATTAATACGATTCTTCAAGAAAGGTCCTAGGTGGACTGAGGTTATCGTGACAGGCAGTGGCCTTGGTTCACCAAATTTGCCTCTGTTTTGAGGGGCTTCATCCAGAGTGACTTGCAAGTTTACTCGTACCTTTCTTGCATGGTAATGGGTAAGTACACTATACACACATATCCACGACACAGGTGTGCTCTGGGTAGATTAGCAGTCCTTCCCCCAGGACCGCTTGTTAAGGCAAGCTTGATGCAAAATCTCCTTACCTTTCTTACCCAAAGACCCCCCTAACTTCCAGGAAGAAAAGTCAGGAAGGCTTTATCTTCAGTTTTGTGAATTCTACTTTTGATGCAGCTGGAGAGGCTAGGCTGCCAGAAAAGCTGGTGGCCTCACTGCTAGGCATGTGGAGAACTTGGTAGGCCTGCAGAGTACTTGTATCCAAACTGGACTGTGTTTTAATGGATGCTGGCTGCATTTCCCCCATGTCAGAAGGATCCTAATGAAAGCACCTGCTTTTTAAGTTCCTAAAGGTCTGGTTGTTCAGAATCCCCAACGATAAAAATTAATTTCCTTATAGGATTGGGACCCTGATTAACTTCACTCAGTCACCCTGTGAGAGCTGGTATAGTGGAAATTGTGGAATTTTCTTAAGAACTCAAGCTTCCAAGAATACACATGTAGTTGAAGTGAGGGGCAGGGGGAAAGTGGATTGAAATGATAAAGTTTATTTTTTATATTCATTAATAAATGCTGTTGTGCCTGGAGATAATCAATCATATAACGTCAGGTTTTTTTGTTTGGTTTGGTTTTCCTTTTTTGTCATTTATTGTGTTATTTCCAAAAAGCTAAATAAATATTGTTTTTATTTTTTAGTTTGAGCCTTTGCCCTCAATTTGTTGCCTTCCAGATCACTGCACACTCTTTCTCACTGCTGAAACACACACACGTTACAAAGTTCACATTTAGTAGCTAGGCATTTGCTCCAGGAAGGCAAACCTCAAACACCAGACTTTGTATGTGGAATCCAGCTCTGGATAAGCAGGAAAGGACACCTCAACTTTGGAGGTGATTTCATGTAATTGGAAGCATTTGGGTACAAGATACTAACTAACACATTTGTCCCTGTTTTCTTTCATTTGCACTGTTAAGTTTCTATATTACGCATTACAGAGTTAACAGGGTGTGAGAGCAGTCACTCCTCCAAAGTGTGTCTAAACTCATAAGCCTCAGAATCTGACACGATCAGGCTCATATCACCCCACGGGCCTGTGTGACCTTTTGTTATAAAGCTCCATTTTCTGGTGAGCTGCAGGACAAGTAGAAATACAAGATGAATTGTACAATATATATTTGGTTCCAGAGAGCCTTGCTTCGAAGATACCTGCATTGATGGGCTTAGGGAGTGTGGAGCCGGGACTCGGGAAAACTCAGGCAGCGGGACCCAAGCAAAAGAAGACAGTTTCAGGTGGAAAAAACAATTCCCTCGTTCCTCTCATTCAGCTTCTGCAAAGTTTTAATAAAGTGAGCATTGTTTTTGTTACTTGTTTGGTTTTTTGTTTTGTTAAGTTTTTCCTAGTTTATTGCCCTGTGTTGTGGTGGCAGCAGCCACTGGTACGTCATGAATTCAGAAAGAAGACTTATAGTAGTGTCTTTCACGAACTGTACTTCTGATAATATGGACAGTATCTCTGTAATCTTATCCCAGGTCTTGTTTTCTTTTCTTTTTTTTTTAATTGTGGAAAATTTCAAACATTGAAAGGTAGAGAGAATGGTATAATTTTTTTCATCATCTGGCTTCAAATAATGGTCAACTCCTGGCCAATCTTGTTTTATCTGTACCCCTGCCAATCATACTGGACTATTTTGAAGCAAATCTCAGATGCCATATTACTTCATAAGTGTTTGAGTTCATAGCTCTAAGACATTAAAAAATTTTAACCACAGTGCTGCTATTGCACCTAAAGAAATGAATAACTCGTTGCTGCTGCTAAGTCACTTCAGTCGTGTCCGACTCTGTGTGATCCCATAGACGGCAGCCCACCAGGCTCCCCCGTCCCTGGGATTCTCCAGGCAAGAACACTGGAGTGGGTTGCCATTTCCTTCTCCAATGTGTGAAAGTGAAAAGTGAAAGTGAATTTGCTGTCGTGTCCGACTCTTAGCCACCCCGTGGACTGCAGCCTACCAGGCTCCTTCATCCATGGGATTTTCCAGGCAAGAGTACTGGAGTGGGGTGCCATTGCCTTCTCTGGAATAACTCGTTAGTATCATTAAATATCCAGTCAGTGTTCAAATGATCTCATAAATGTGTGTTTTTGCATTTTGTTCCAAATCAAGATCTGGATGTAGTCTATGCATCGTTGTTAGTTCGTGTGTCTCTTAAATTTCTCATAACCCGTAGGTCTTCCCGTGTACTGTTGCACTTTCACTCTTTCACTCCCTTGCAACTTATTACTTGAGGAAATCAGATCATCTTTTTTCTAAAGAGTTCCCAGTCTGGATTTCGCTAACTGCATCATTGTGATTACATTTTCCTCTGTTCCTGTATTTCTTATAACTTAATGATTAGACAGAATTGTACTGTAGCCATCTATGGCTGTTGGGCACTTGAAATTGAGTTTGAACTGAAGCTGAGTTTGACTTGAGATGTACAATTACATGTGTGGCTCATACATTTCTATTGGACCATGCTAGAGGTTTGATCACATTAAGATCAGAATTTTCTGGCACAAGTATATCATAGACCTGGTACTACATTCAGGAGGACTAATCAGTTGTCTCCTTTTGTGATTTTAGCAGCCATTGTTATTCAAGACCTAGACTCACTTATTTGGATTTGCAGAAGACTGACAGTTTAATTGTGCCCTTCTTTCTTTTACTTCAGCTGGAATATTAAAAGGAGAAGCATCACCTCATCAACTATTTGATTACACAGGACCACAATTTGTATAGGAAAGGCAAAAAATAGACACATGGTTTTATTTACTAGTATTCAAAATAATGAGTTGCATCCTCTAAAAGTTACTAGTAAATTTTGTTTTTAAGTGTCATTATGAATTTGGATCTAAGTGGATTTTTCTTTCAATCCATTGCTATTATTTTTCATTGATTGCCTCATGTTTGGCCAGTGGGAGCCTCTTTAACTCCGATCCTGAGTTCCCACTCAATCCCAGTATTCTGTTCCAAGTTTACCTTAGAGGTGTAGCCTATACTGGGCTTCCCAGGTGGTGATAGTGGTAAAGAAGCCACCTGCCAATGAAAGAGACATAAGAGACGTGGGTTTGATCCCTGGGTCGGGAAGACCCCCTGGAGGAGGAGTGGTAGCCCACTCCAGTATTCTGGCCTGGAGACTCCCATGGACGGAGGAGCCTGTTGGGCTACAGTCCAGTCCATAGGGCTGCAGAGAGCCGGACACGACCGAAGCAACTTGCCGCACAGCACAACTTAGGGTGCCGCATGTGGCCTACATTCTCTATGTATTGAGCGCAAATAAATGAAAACAGAGCATTAGACCCTTCAAAGACTAACCAGAGACGTGTTGATTCGTCATGTCCTATATAGAAGAAATTTATTTATCTTGACAAATTAACAGGAGACACTAGATCTGTGAGAAACTCTAATAAGAGCATTTAAGAAATTAGATGAAGTACAGGGAAGATTGGAGAATGAAAGAGATTAGTTGTATGTTAAATACTGAGAGTGTTCAGTGGGAGTGCCGGAGTTTATGACGTCAAAGAATTTGCTATAGCCAACCAATTTAATCACTCTAAAGCTATTCATGCTCCTATGTCCACGTGATTTTTGTGCAAGGATAATCGAGAAGCTTAGCTGGGATTATACCATCTGTTGTAGCAGTTTACTTCTACAAATTTTGTCCTCAGAGAAGCTATCTTGGGAATTACAAGGTAAGTGCAAAGTATGTCTTATTCCATTCAAATAAGAATAATATATAGAAGGAGTATGAATTCTGTGAAGTATTAGCTGTGACATAATTTAGGGAGTAGAGATTACATGAAGCATTTCCCACTAATTTTTTTAAAAAAATTACTTATAACCAGCTATTCCCACACAATTAACTGTTTACTTTTGGGTGTACCCATGAGTAGTTTCTGACTTGCTAACCTGACTATCCGTGAAGAATTTGTTTCCAAGAAGGTTCTATTTTCCTTTTGGAATAAGCTGGGTTTTTCATAGTCTCTGAAGCAAAGATTGAAGTCTTGGAGGCAATTGGGCTTAGAATGGATAACTACGAAGAGCAGCAGACACTTTTCAACTTCATTAACTTATTCTTGCCAGAATCTGGTTACCAGGATTTAAATGGTGTTCTTGGGAAATTATTATTTACCATTTTCCAGGTACAATGTTAAATGCTGGAGACATAAAAAGGGGACACACATAGGATCCCTACCCTCCTTCAGTTAGTCTAGAGTAGAGAAGTCTAGTGATTATACAAGATAATTGTAGTCAGTTGTAATTGTGATATGCACTACAAAATAACAGTATTAAGACACAAATTTATAGTTTTCATTGTTCAAAATTTTTTTAGTGCCTGTTGATGCTCAAATAATTTGCTAAGTACAGGGGCTATAATGGTGAGCAAAATACCAAATACTCCTGAATGAGTATAGCCTTTAAAGGAGATAGATATTCACCCAACAATAAAAAAATGGGCCAAGTGCTTTGAAGGAGAATATGGTTCCCCCTCTTTCCCCCCCCCTAAACTGAGTGTTCTGTAATGCTTTCAGGTGAAATAATACAAAATATCTATGTGTCACATAGTAAGTGTGACAACTATCATTTAATTTATGTATGTATTTACTAGGTTACAAAGTCAAATGTATTTCATTCCTTGGGTCACAGTAGAAAAAAAATCTTGAAAGCCATTGTACTAGTGGGACCAATTCAAGTTTGGGGATTAGGGAAAGCTTTTTGGGGGACATGATGAGCTCTGAAGATTTAGCTAGTGGGAAGAGATGAAGAGGAACATTGCAAGTATCTGGAATAGTGTATGTAAAGACCCTTTGTGGGGCTGAGAGGGCAGTGCAGTTGAAGGCCCGCATGGTGAGAATAAGACGGCAAGCGAGGGAGTAGGGACCAGACGCTGCAAGGCCTTGGAATTCCTTGTCAGGAGCTTGATTTTGTTCTGAGAGTAGCGGGGAACCATTGGAGGCGTTTAAACATTGGAATGGCTTGAAATGATCAATTTCATCCCAGTGTGTGTAATAGAATGATAAGGCATGAGAAGATACAGGGACACCAGTTGTCCAAGTGAGAGAGGAAGGGGCTCAGATTCCCATGGCAGCAGTGGGGGTAGCATGAAATGGCTAGATTCCAGAGATTTAGGAGAGAAAATCCAGTAGGAATTTGAGATGGGTGGCGGTGAAGGGGAAGAAAGTGTTGGGGATGAGTCCCAAGCTTTTGTGTGTATCTTAGACATTTCTTGAGACAAGGAATCCTGGAGGAAGAGGAGCATTTTGGGGGAGGGAGACATCCGAGTTTATCTTGGGTATGTCAAGTTTGAGGCACCCTTGAGACATCATGGAGGAGATACCTTATAGGCAGTTACATTTATAAGTTTGATCTTAGAAGGGCCTAACTGGAGAATTTCATGTGTGAGTACTGGCACATAGATTATTGAAGCTGTGGGCAAGGATGAAGTCATTTTGAGAGTATAGTGGAGACCTATAATACTAATATCATTGCTGGGGCTCCATGTAGATCAATTACTATGATCCCTATCACCCAGCCCCTAGCCCCAGGCTCAGAAACAGCCACATGGGCACAGACCCATGAACTGATGTTGGAAAGGTCCTGGGTTATGCAGTTTGTCAGAGCATGCATAGACCAGCTTGCTTATTATCCCCCTTTCCCACCCTCACCCCACCTCTTCACATCCCTTCAGGGCTTTCTCCACTGCTTACTGAAAGGTGTTAGCACTCAGCCCAAGTTCAGCACCCTCCCCAGCTCCACCTCAGCGCACTCCTTCAGTCTTCCTGCAGACTACGTCTCAACACAAACCATACACTGGACTCAAGCAGCTTGCTTCCCTCTCTCTCTGCCCTGCCCCTGCTCCCTGGCTTAAGCTCTTCTCTCCCTGGAGTTGTGTGCTCTCTCTACCTCACCTTCCCGCTGCTCCATAGGCTTTCCTCCCACCCTCCAGGGTTCAGATCAAGTCTTATTGTTTCTGAAGTTTCCCCAACCCCCATAAGGACTGGAGTGCTCCCCTTCCTCTGAAGAATATCATCACTTAATGATCTGTGCCTCTTATTTTGTATTTAGCAGAGTGACTGCCATTTTAGAATATGGTCTAACTAGATCATGTCTTATATTGTAGTCCTGGCTGCTAGTAAAATGTGCTTCCAGAATCCTCAAACTCTTAAAGAACTCCAGAAGCAGGTACAGTGCTGAGAACATCATTAGGATACAGATGTTGGAGTGGAGGGAAGGAAGCAGGGAGCTCTATGCTTGCTCATTGGATGCGCAGTTCACACTTGCGTCTCAATGAACTGTGGTCCTTCCCCATAGTTAAAAATTCTAATGATGGTCAAAAATGTAAACAATAAATCTGAGACTGCCAAAACTTCCTCACTTTCTTGTGTCCTCTGCTAACGCAGCTAAGTCACTTCAGTCGAGTCCGACTCTGTGCTACCCCATAGATGGCAGCGCATCAGGCTCCCCCGTCCCTGGGATTCTCCAGCAACCCACTGGAGTGGGTTGCCATTTCCTTCTCCAATGCATGAAAGTGAAAAGTGAAAGTGAAGTCGCTCAGTTGTGTCTGACTTTTAGCGACCTCATGGACTGCAGCCTACCAGGCTCCTCCGTCCATGGGATTTTCCAGGCAAGGGTACTGGAGTGGGGTGCCTTCTCTGTCATGTGTCTCCTACAACTCCTTATATCTCAAAGGTCCCCTGTAGGAAGGGTTGGTGGGGTAGATTACTTAGTGATCACACTGGAAGCTGTCTGATCCTATAGTATGAAGACTCACTCCCAGTATGCTGGGAGACTGTCCCCCAACATGGGGTGCAGAAGCCTTTGAGCCTTCCGTACAGTAAGACAATGACAAGAGAGGGCAGACAGCAGAAATGAGGGAATTAAAGGATTTGCCCATCTGGCCTCCTTTGACCTCTATGCCCTCAGATTATCCACTCTTCCTCTTCACAGGATGTTCTCCTGTATGTATGGGGATGACCCCAGTGACCCCGAACAGCAGGACTTTGAAACCATCCTGATAGGGATGATGTTGTATTGATCCAGAGATACTCCCTGGTAAACCCTGATTGTTTGCAAAATTCCTATGGTCAGGGGTCTAGATTTAAATGTATATTATAGGCAGTCATGAAATTGAATTCTGTATGAATGAATTTTGCTTTTTTTTTTTTAATGCAACTGCATTTAATGTATTCCAAAATATGTAAAAAAGCAAATCCCTGGCTGTTGTATTGTTAAACTGATACTGCACTTGATCTTAACCAAATGGTTCAGTGGCTATGTGTGAATTTAAAATTTTTAGGTTTCAGCTTAGCAGATATTGTTGACTAATATTAATTGACTTTCTCATCAACAGTGCATGAGAGTTCCAGATGTTCTACATCATCAACACTTGATATTGTCAGGTTTTTAAAAATTTTAACTCTTCCTCTGTGTGTGTGTGTAGTGATATCTCATTGTTTCATTTTGGAGTTCCCTGATGGCTAATGAGGTTAAATAACTTACGTGTTTATTGGCTATTTTGATATCCTCTTTTGTGAAGTACCTGTTAAAAATCTTGCCTACTTTGGGATCTTTTTCTTATTGATTTGTAGAAATTTTTTTATTTTGGATATGAGTCCTTTGTCAGATATGTGTAGTACAAATATCTTCTTCCTCTATGTGATTTGCTTTTTCACTCTCTTAACGGAATGTTGTGATGAGTGGAAGTTCTTAACTTTAATGTAACCCAATTTATCAGTATTTCCTTTATGATTAGTCTTTTTTTGTAACATTTTACAAAATGCTTGCCTTTTCTAAGATCATAAATATATTCTCCTATTTTATCTTCAAGTTTTTTTCTTAACTGTTCACATTTAGGTTTACAGCCTACCTGAAATTGATTTTTGTTTATGTTATGAGCTTGAGGTCAAGACTTTTTTGGAAAATATCCAATTGATCCAGAACCATTTCTTTAAAAAGACCTTCATTTTTCTACTGCTCTGAAGGGCCAATTTTGTCATAAATCAAGGATCTGTATATGTGTGGATCTGCTTCTAGACTATCTTTTCTATTCTGTTGGTCTCTTTGCAAACTCTCAATGTCACACTGTATTAATTGCTTTACAACATAACATACTCTTCCTTTGGATTTTCTACATATAAATATGTCATCTAGAAATAATGGTAGTTTTCTTTCTTTCCAATCCTTATACTTTTTTTTCCCCCTCTCTTTTTGCACAGGCTAGTACCTCTAGGGCAGTGTTGAATAGAAGAGATGAAGGGGACATCTTTATTTCATTTCCAATATTGGGGAAATCTTGTAATATTTCACCATTAAGTGGGATGTTTGTTTTAGATGTTTTAGAGACGTTCTTTGTTAGGTTAATGAAATTCCCTTCTATTCTTAAGTTGCCAAATAGAGTTTGTTTACTGTTTCTTAAAATCATGAATGTATATTGATTTTATCAAGTGCTTTTTCTGCATCGTAATTATACATTTTAAAATTTTTATCCTATTGATATTTATCTTTATTCCCACTGATTATTTTTAGGATGTTAGACCTGTCTCTCATTCCTGAAATTAAACTCAACCTGGAAGTGTTGTAGTTTTTCTATCCATAATTATTTTTTTGTAAGATTTTTGCATTTATATTCACAAAATGTCTGCCTCTGATTTTCTTTTCAGATTTGGTTTTAAGGTGATGCTGAAATCAAAACAAGTTAGGACATATTCCTTTTTTTATCCTTCTTTTTTGGAAGAGTTGTAATTTGATAGCTCTTTTTCACCATTGGGGTGAATACTCTTGATGAAATCCTTTAGAACTAGTGTTGTAGACCATGTTTTGGGAAACAGTGGTCTAGAGAGCAAGACTTAAACATGAAAAAATCAATTGCTGTCAGTTTGAAGGCTCTTTGTTTTATTCACTTTTCCTCCCTTATGCAGCACAAGTCACTTCACCTTTCCCTTCCTGGCTGTGTGGGGCTCAGCCAAGTCACCACACAGGAGAGCAGTGAGCCATCTGAGGCCTGAGCCTGGTCCTCAGAGACTTGCTCTTTCCAGCCCTGCTCAGCCATCCCCACACTCCTCTGACAGAATGAATGCCCTGGATGACGTCCCCTTCAAGGTGCCCAAGGGCTTTGTGATAGACACAGAGCCCCACCCTGGGCTAGATCTCAGTGTTCCAGACTGCAGGGAACTCCTGCTGGGTTCTATGGTAAGTGCCTCTCTCTGTCTATCTTCTCATCGCTGGGTCTGTGGGTCTGATGCTGAGCCTCATGAGGCCCCTTGTTCCTTGATTTTATATGGCAGCCACTCCTGTTCTGATATATTCTAGGAAGTGTGAAAACAACCCAAGAGGAGAAGATATTCCATGAAGAAGTCTGGAGACTTGGTCATGGGGCTATTTAGTGCATCTTAAGTTTAGAATAACCAGAAGGTTGCTTATATGGAGTTACTGAGAGTCCTAGCAAGGATATTCCAATTCCAATTCCTCTCTTTTCTATCAGCCTACTGCCAAGTCTAAAATTCCACTGTTAGAATCACTCCACTGGGCTAAGACGCTATCTTGAGATTAAAACGCAGACAGTTGCACAGGACACGTTAGAATGGGTTACTGTCCCACAGACCCACAGACCCACCTCTCCATGCGGCAGCTTTGAGGCGCCCCTTGCCCCATGGCTCACACCCTGTGGTGTGCCCTCAGTGTGTGTGGTGGTATCACATACCCTCAGGATAAACACGATTATTTCACTTCCATGTGAGTCAAATTTATTTTAAGACTTAGGAGGAAACCTATTGCATTTGTATTACAACACAGATATATAATGAGGTAGAAAGCAAAATTCACATGAATTTTAAAAAATGAAAGAGAAGGATTGCAAACAGCTGTGGAGCTGGTGGTGGATCTTTTAGGACTGAGTCCTCGGGATCTTGTGTGCTCATTCAGCACTGTCTGCGGGCTACTTGATAGGAAAATTTGAGGATCTAGTTCAGCTCACACTCACTTTGCACATGAGGAACCTGAGGCTCAGAGAAGGGAAGTGATCTGTCCAAAGATAGTGGCAATGGTGGGACTAATTCCCAGGTCCTGGGCTTCCCTGTGGTCCGGTGGTTAAGAATCTGCCGTGCAATGCAAGGGACACTGGTTGGATCTCTGGTCCAGGAAGAGCCCATATGCCAGGGAGCAACTAAGCCTGTGATCCACAATTACTGAGCCCATGTGCAGCAACTACTGAAGTGTGTGCACTTGAGAGCCTGTGCTCTGCACCAGGAGAAGCTATCTGCACACCACAGGTAGAGAGTAGCCCCACTTGCTGCAACTAGAGAAACCCTGCTCAGCAACGAAGACCCAGCAAGCCAAAAATAAATGAATATGTCAAGTTTAAAAAGTAAAACCCAGATCTTGATTCTAGATCACTTCACGATAGCTCAGAGAAGGATTGGCAAGTGAGAGACATCAGACACATAATGTTCGAGGGCAAAAAAATACAGGGTTATGGGAAGTTAGGTGCAGAGAAACCAGTCCAGGAAGGAGAGGCCTGGAGAGGGTCAGGTAGAGAGGCTTGAGTAGCTTGGAGGCACAGGAGCAGGAGACTTCATCTGCAGCCCCTGGAGTTGCACTTAACTTCCTCAGGACCCAGACGTGAAATAAGCTTCGTAAAGCCCCGAGTACAGTGTTCAGGGGCCCCACTCTGTGCGGCAGGAGCGTGGGCTTTCCCCAGAGAACCTGTGCTGTGGGCCCTCACTCTGGCAGTAAGGCCTACTTGCTGGGAAAAGCAAATTGCTTTACTAAGCTCCAGTGGAGGTAGACAGACTAGCATAACTATTCCCTCTCTGCTAAGCCGGGAGGAGGCTATTCTGAAAGTTACTTCTCCTAGAAGCAGAAATAGGTACCCTTCTGCCAAGTCTATGTCTTCTGTCCCAGCCCACGTCTTGGCTCTGGCCCTGCCTCCTGTTCTCAGGGTGGGCACTCCACACCCACTCATCTCCCTTGAGCCTATTTCCCTTCCTGAGTCTCCATTTCTTTTACTGCTGTGGCCAGCTATCAAAGAGAGAAGCATGGGACTCCACGTATGATTTATGGCCTCTCCTGGTTAGTCTTCCAAGTTTACTGGGCTATATTCCCAGTGTTTGGAACTTGAAACACATTTTCCCATAGCAACAATGTTATAGATAGTGGTTAGATTAACAGATGAATCTGTAGCGGCCTAAAAAAGAAAAAAAATACCTTCCATTCGTCGAGCACCTGCCATGTACCAGGGCCAGGCTACGTGCTCTTCATACATTCACCCTTCTCTCTCATTCTTATGACCCTTGTAGCAGGCGGGTGTTCCTTCCCCACGGCACAGGAAACCAAAGTTCCCACCCTTGTGACCAACAGGGCCGTGTGGCTGTGAGTGGCACAGCCAGGATTCCAACATGAGCGTGTCAGTCCCCAAAGCCCACGTCCACCTCCTGCACCTATGGCTTTCCTGAGAAGCCTTGGCAAGTCTGTGTTTCGTTGTTTCATCATAGTCTTCCTTTAATTAGAGTTAATTTCCCTTTTGTCAGTTAAATATTTTAGAAAGAATATCTATATATATACACATACATGCATATATATATATATATATATGTATGTATGTATGTATAGAGCAAGGGTCAACAAACATTTTCTGTAAGGGGCCAGATAGTAAAAACTAGCAATCACTCAACACTACTATTGTAGGGAGAAAGGGCCATGGACATTACAGAAAGGAGTGAGTGAGCACGGCTGTGTTCCAATACCACTTTATTTAAAAAACAAGGTGGGAGGTCCGTTTGACTCCCAGGCAGTTTGCCTGTCCTAAGAGAGTGAAAAGCCTTCCACTGACACTTCCTTATCTGTCGTGTCCCCACCTGCCCTGGTAACTTCTGTTACTTGTATTTTAAACTGTATTCTTCTGGAGAGTCTTATGTGTGTACATATAAGCAAACACAGCTATTTCTTCCCTTTTCACACCAAAGGTAGCATTTTCTATACATTATTCTTCTTGATTTTTTTTTCACTTAACATATTTGAAGACTTTCCATATCCATACAGAGAATGCTTCTTCGGTACTGCATGGTATTGTGTTATAAGGATATATTGTACTTTACTGAATGAATCCCCTCTTGATGGACACCTAGGTTCTTCCCAGTCTTTTGTCATTACAAGCAATGCCGCAGGGAAAGACTATATGCAGATGTCCTTTTGGATTAAATCATATTGCCAAATTGCCCTCCATAAGGGTTATACTGTTTTACATCCAACCAGCACCCTACAAGGGCTTCCCAGGTGGTGCTGCTAGTGGCCAAGAATCCACCTGCCAATGCAGGAGACATAAGAGACGCAGGTTCGATCCCTGGGTTGGGAAGATCCCCTGGAGCTCTTGCATGGCAACCTACTCCAGCATTCTTGCCTGGAGAATCCCATCGACAGAGGAGCCTGGTGGGCTGTGGCCCAGAGGGTCACAAAGAGTTAGACACAACTGAAGTGACTTTAGCATGCACAGCACTCTACAGTGGGCTTACACCTCAGCTGCAGTCCTCAACAAAGGAGTCATCAGATGTTGCATCTTTGCTGAGGGATAGGCAAATGGTATCTCAGTATAGTTTTATTTTCCTTTCTCTTGTTGCGAGTGAGATTGAGCAGCTTTTCATGTGTTTAAGAGCCATCTGTAGTTCCTTTTCTGTGGACTGTTCATATCTTTTGTTCATTTCCCTGTTGGGCTGTTGGTCTTTTCTTATCTATTTCTAGGCACTCTTATGTCTGAGTTATCAGTGCTGTTTTCCCGCTAGTTTGTTATTTGCCTTTGACCTTGCTTATGGGGTGTATTTGCCAGGCAGATTTTCACATATGCATGTGTGTACTTTCACAGCTTCACAATTTCAGTTCAGAGTGAGAAATGTTTTCCTTACTTGAGATTATAAAGGATTTCTCTCCTCTTTTCTGCTAGTACTTTTATAATTTCATTTCAAACAACTGAATCTTTGATCCTTTTGGAATTTCCCCTTGTGTATGATGTGAGAATGGATCCAACTCTATTTTCTTTCTGCTGACTAACACCATTTATTGACCAGTCCCTCTTTTTTTCCCATTGCTTGAGATGCCACCTTATTATCTACTAAAGTCCCATAGATAATGTCCATTTCTGGACCTTCTGTTCTTTACCTTTAGGCTATCTGTGCAGTACCTTAGCTTTAATTATCGAGGTTTTATAATATATATTAGCAACTGGTAGGGCCAGTCCCCTTTATTTCTCTTTTTGTCACAGAGGTTTTTAGGCTATGCTTTTTGTTGGGTGTGTCAGAGCAGGGGGCTGTGCTGGGTCTTTGTTGCTGTACAGGTTTTTCTCTAGTTTCGGTGGCAGGCTGCTCATTGCAGTGGCTTCTCTTGTTGCAGAGCACGGGCTCTAGAGTGTGCAAGCTTCAGTAGTTGTGGCCTGTGGGCTCAACAGTTGTGGTACACAGGCTTAGTTGCTCCAGGGAGTGTGGGATCTTCCTGGACCAGGAATCGAACCCATGTCTCCTGCATTGGCAGGTGGATTCTTTACCACTGAATCACCATGGAAGCCCTTGGCTATTATTTGTTTATTTTTCATATGAACTTTAGAATCATCTTGCTTAGGTTCCACAGATCAGAAGTGCTGGTGTTTTTATTGGGTCTTTGGATCATTTTATCCCCTAAGTTCCACTGTCTGTTTCATTACCTCTCAGTCTCTTTCCCTCCATGATGGTTTCCTCAGCTCTGAAGTGGTCTTTTCACTTCCTCTGTCCCTCCCAACCCACTCATTTTCCTCCAGTCTCTTTTTATAGCCATTTATTCTGTACACTCTTACAAATATCCCCTCGGAGCCAGAACTGCCCTGGGCCCCAAGAACGGAGAGAAATAAGATACACTCCCTGACCTCAGTCGGGGAACCACACTTAGAACAGCTACGTTCTGTTCCTCTCCCCAGCTTAGGGTCATGTCAGGAGTGGAGTGAGGGGAGAGGCAGTTCCTGTCTGCCTTTCTGCCTCCCACACCCCCCGCGCCCCACCCCCCCAACCACTCCCCCAGGCTTACCTGGCCATCATAGAGCACTGAAGTTGCCTTTTAAGAATATTTATATTTTTTTATGAAGTTTTATATTTCCAGTTCTTAATTTTAATAGTAGTTAATGGGAATATTTTATTTTTGCTTCACATAAACTCTCAATTTAGATTATGTAGGCTCCACATTTATTTTTTAGGTGGCTTGATCAGTCAGATGGACAGGAAGCCCAGCTCATCTACTCACCACTGATCTGACCTCAAGCAAACTAAATTTCCTGGGTCTCCTTCTGATAATCTGGAAATGGGAATCATATTAGGACAACTAAGTAGAGTTCAGGAAAAAAAAAAAAACAACAACAACGAATGATTTTTACATTTTCTGGGCCCCTGGAAGGCAGCGAACGGGATGGGGGCAAGTACTGCTCCATGCAGAGGTTTGTGTGTCTGGGCTGGCCTCCAAGGCCAGCTGCTCAGTGGCAAATGGTGCTAGACTCAAGTGAGAGCTTCTTGGTGAAGTACAAGTTTTGTTGAAATTAAAAAAAAACAATGTTTTTGGCTGCACTGGGTCTCTGTTGGGTCGTGTGTGGGCTCTCTATGCGCTGCATTCATGAGCTCTCTAGTGGCAGAGCCTGCGGGCTCAGTAGTTGCGGGTGGCCTGGCTTCTCTAGTTGTGGTCAACAGGCTGAGTTGCCCCCACTGGTATGTGGGATCCTACTTCTCCCACCGGGGATCCAATCCTCATCCCCTGCATTGGAAGGCAGATTCTCAACCACTGGACCACCAGAGAAGTCCCCTGGAGAAGTTGTTTAGGCCACTGTTGTTCAATTATATGCTGAATGGCAAAGGGACTTAGACTTTCGTTATATTAACCTACTCCTCACATTGTCCTGTCTACAGAGTTTGCTATTAAATTGTTATTGACAGTCATCCACTCCAATGCTAGCTAAAACCGAGGGTGAGGGTGGCCTGCGATGAATGCCTGGGGCTTAGAATCAGAAGCTGTCGAGGCCTGGACGGTCTGTGGCTGAACAGGTTCCCCGGGGGCCAGGAGGGAGGGGTGTGCCCCCAGGCCCTGGTTTGCCTGGCGGAGCCTCCCCGGCCTTGTTTCCGCAGCACGACTTCAGCCTGGAGAGGAGGACACTCTTCTGGGTGGAGGCTGTCATCCGGGGACCCTGCCCGGTTCACTGCGGTGCTCCCGCGGCGGCTTCTGCCCCTCCCGCCTGGCTCTTGCTGGCTAGCCCCGAGCAAGGGCTGGGACCCGTGCCTGCTGCAGTTGAAGATCCGGAGGCCGGATCCCAGGAGCAGCCTGAGGAGGAGAAGGAGGAGGAGGAGGACCAGGATGAGGAAGCAGCCTCTGCCGTGGAGGAAGAGCTGGAGCCCTGCAGCCCCCAGCCCAGCTCCGCGGCGAGCCCCCGCCTGGGCCAGCACCGGTGCTCGCTGGACGTGCTGCGCGGCATGAGGTCGGAGCTGGCTGGGGCCAGGCGGCGGCTCTCCGAGGGCCGGCTCGCCTCCCACCCCCGCAGCCTCCTGCACCGCCTCCGCCACCGAGCTCTGAGCCTCTGCCCCGGCCCCGCGCCGCCCCAGGGCCCGGCGCCTCCACCCCGCAGTGCTCCCATGCAGTCCCCGCCGTCCCCTGTCCCCAAGGCCTCGCTCCCCAGCGCCCGCACGCCGCCCTTGGGCCCCAAGCCGTCGCTCCCCAGCACCCCCGAGCTGCCCCCGCGGCCCTCCACGGCTGGCGCCATGCCCCCTCTGCGGAGCCACAAGCCCACAGTTGCGGTAAGAAACCTGCCCCCTTGGCCAGGGCCACAACTCAGCAGCGGGGCCCACACATCTGGGTCCCCCGCCTGCTTGGACACCCCTCCCTACCAGCGCTTACCTGGCCCTGTACCACGCTGTCCTTCCTGCAGCCCTATGCCTAGAATATTCCCTGTTTCGAGTTCCCCTTCCTTGCTTCTCGCTGTGTTTCCTTCTTTGCTTCTGTTAGGGCACCTGTTAGGGTAATTGTAATTACTCAGTATCTGTCTCTTCCAATGGAGTTAGACTTCTCTTAGGGCAGTGATTGGATTGCATTTGTCTCCAGAGCACCCAGAGCACACTTGGCCCATAGGGGGAGCTCAGTGAATGTCCGTTGAATCAATGAACGTGGCTCAGATCTAGGGCTTGCCACTGTTCAAGGATTGGGTGAGCTGGAGGCTCAATCAGGGAATATTCATAGCGCAGTTACTTCATGCAAGAAACTGGATTGGAAGAGACAAAGTCAAAAGCATGCGAGGAGATTGGCGAGGAAGGGTGAGACAGGGCAGCACTGCCCATTGGCGAGGAAGGGTGAGACTGGGCAGCACTGCCCATTGTCGAGGAAGGGTGAGACTGGGCAGCACTGCCCATTGGCGAGGAAGGGTGAGACTGGGCAGCACTGCCCATTGTCGAGGAAGGGTGAGACTGGGCAGCACTGCCCATTGGCGAGGAAGGGTGAGACTGGGCAGCACTGCCCATTGGCGAGGAAGGGTGAGACTGGGCAGCACTGCCCATTGGCGAGGAAGGGTGAGACTGGGCAGCACTGCCCATTGTCGAGGAAGGGTGAGACTGGGCAGCACTGCCCATTGGCGAGGAAGGGTGAGACTGGGCAGCACTGCCCATTGGCGAGGAAGGGTGAGACTGGGCAGCACTGCCCATTGGCGAGGAAGGGTGAGACTGGGCAGCACTGCCCATTGTCGAGGAAGGGTGAGACTGGGCAGCACTGCCCATTGGCGAGGAAGGGTGAGACAGGGCAGCACTGCCCATTGTCGAGGAAGGGTGAGACTGGGCAGCACTGCCCATTGGCGAGGAAGGGTGAGACTGGGCAGCACTGCCCATTGGCGAGGAAGGGTGAGACTGGGCAGCACTGCCCATTGGCGAGGAAGGGTGAGACAGGGCAGCACTGCCCATTGTCGAGGAAGGGTGAGACTGGGCAGCACTGCCCATTGTCGAGGAAGGGTGAGACTGGGCAGCACTGCCCATTGGCGAGGAAGGGTGAGACAGGGCAGCACTGCCCATTGTCGAGGAAGGGTGAGACTGGGCAGCACTGCCCATTGGCGAGGAAGGGTGAGACTGGGCAGCACTGCCCATTGGCGAGGAAGGGTGAGACTGGGCAGCACTGCCCATTGGCGAGGAAGGGTGAGACAGGGCAGCACTGCCCATTGTCGAGGAAGGGTGAGACTGGGCAGCACTGCCCATTGTCGAGGAAGGGTGAGACAGGGCAGCACTGCCCATTGGCGAGGAAGGGTGAGACAGGGCAGCACTGCCCATTGGCGAGGAAGGGTGAGACTGGGCAGCACTGCCCATTGGCGAGGAAGGGTGAGACTGGGCAGCACTGCCCATTGTCGAGGAAGGGTGAGACTGGGCAGCACTGCCCATTGGCGAGGAAGGGTGAGACTGGGCAGCACTGCCCATTGTCGAGGAAGGGTGAGACTGGGCAGCACTGCCCATTGTCGAGGAAGGGTGAGACAGGGCAGCACTGCCCATTGGCGAGGAAGGGTGAGACTGGGCAGCACTGCCCATTGTCGAGGAAGGGTGAGACTGGGCAGCACTGCCCATTGGCGAGGAAGGGTGAGACTGGGCAGCACTGCCCATTGGCGAGGAAGGGTGAGACTGGGCAGCACTGCCCATTGGCGAGGAAGGGTGAGACTGGGCAGCACTGCCCATTGTCGAGGAAGGGTGAGACAGGGCAGCACTGCCCATTGGCGAGGAAGGGTGAGACAGGGCAGCACTGCCCATTGGCGAGGAAGGGTGAGACTGGGCAGCACTGCCCATTGGCGAGGAAGGGTGAGACTGGGCAGCACTGCCCATTGTCGAGGAAGGGTGAGACTGGGCAGCACTGCCCATTGGCGAGGAAGGGTGAGACTGGGCAGCACTGCCCATTGGCGAGGAAGGGTGAGACAGGGCAGCACTGCCCATTGGCGAGGAAGGGTGAGACTGGGCAGCACTGCCCATTGTCGAGGAAGGGTGAGACTGGGCAGCACTGCCCATTGGCGAGGAAGGGTGAGACTGGGCAGCACTGCCCATTGTCGAGGAAGGGTGAGACTGGGCAGCACTGCCCATTGTCGAGGAAGGGTGAGACTGGGCAGCACTGCCCATTGGCGAGGAAGGGTGAGACAGGGCAGCACTGCCCATTGGCGAGGAAGGGTGAGACAGGGCAGCACTGCCCATTGGCGAGGAAGGGTGAGACTGGGCAGCACTGCCCATTGTCGAGGAAGGGTGAGACTGGGCAGCACTGCCCATTGGCGAGGAAGGGTGAGACTGGGCAGCACTGCCCATTGTCGAGGAAGGGTGAGACTGGGCAGCACTGCCCATTGTCGAGGAAGGGTGAGACAGGGCAGCACTGCCCATTGGCGAGGAAGGGTGAGACAGGGCAGCACTGCCCATTGGCGAGGAAGGGTGAGACAGGGCAGCACTGCCCATTGTCGAGGAAGGGTGAGACTGGGCAGCACTGCCCATTGGCGAGGAAGGGTGAGACTGGGCAGCACTGCCCATTGGCGAGGAAGGGTGAGACTGGGCAGCACTGCCCATTGGCGAGGAAGGGTGAGACTGGGCAGCACTGCCCATTGTCGAGGAAGGGTGAGACAGGGCAGCACTGCCCATTGGCGAGGAAGGGTGAGACAGGGCAGCACTGCCCATTGTCGAGGAAGGGTGAGACTGGGCAGCACTGCCCATTGGCGAGGAAGGGTGAGACTGGGCAGCACTGCCCATTGGCGAGGAAGGGTGAGACTGGGCAGCACTGCCCATTGTCGAGGAAGGGTGAGACTGGGCAGCACTGCCCATTGGCGAGGAAGGGTGAGACTGGGCAGCACTGCCCATTGGCGAGGAAGGGTGAGACTGGGCAGCACTGCCCATTGGCGAGGAAGGGTGAGACTGGGCAGCACTGCCCATTGGCGAGGAAGGGTGAGACAGGGCAGCACTGCCCATTGTCGAGGAAGGGTGAGACTGGGCAGCACTGCCCATTGTCGAGGAAGGGTGAGACTGGGCAGCACTGCCCATTGGCGAGGAAGGGTGAGACAGGGCAGCACTGCCCATTGTCGAGGAAGGGTGAGACAGGGCAGCACTGCCCATTGTCGAGGAAGGGTGAGACAGGGCAGCACTGCCCATTGGCGAGGAAGGGTGAGACTGGGCAGCACTGCCCATTGGCGAGGAAGGGTGAGACTGGGCAGCACTGCCCATTGTCGAGGAAGGGTGAGACTGGGCAGCACTGCCCATTGTCGAGGAAGGGTGAGACTGGGCAGCACTGCCCATTGGCGAGGAAGGGTGAGACAGGGCAGCACTGCCCATTGGCGAGGAAGGGTGAGACAGGGCAGCACTGCCCATTGGCGAGGAAGGGTGAGACTGGGCAGCACTGCCCATTGTCGAGGAAGGGTGAGACTGGGCAGCACTGCCCATTGTCGAGGAAGGGTGAGACTGGGCAGCACTGCCCATTGTCGAGGAAGGGTGAGACTGGGCAGCACTGCCCATTGTCGAGGAAGGGTGAGACAGGGCAGCACTGCCCATTGTCGAGGAAGGGTGAGACTGGGCAGCACTGCCCATTGGCGAGGAAGGGTGAGACAGGGCAGCACTGCCCAGGGGGAGGGATCAGGCACCGAGGGGGAGGTGAGGGCCGCTGCAGGCTGGGGCGGCTTCGGGACAAAGGATGTGCACCAAGAACTGGGAGCAGATGAGAACATAGAGTGAAATCGGTAAAGCTGAAGCTTCAGGCTTAGCTCCTCCCAAGGCTTTGAGCGTGTGTGCTCAGTTGCTCAGTCGTGTCTTTCTTTGGGACCCCCCTGGACTGTAGCCCAGGGCCTCCCAGGTGGCGCTAGTGGTAAAGAACAGTCAGAGGTGTAAGAGACATGGGTTCTATCCCTGGTTTGGGAAGATCCCCTGGAGGAGGGCATAGCAACCTGCTCCAGTATTCTTGCCTGGAGAATCCCATGCACAGAGGAGCCTGGTGGGCTACAGTTCATAGAGTGCAAAGAGTTGGACACCACTTAGCATGTATGCGTTCACGGACTGTAGCCTGCCAGTCTCCTCTGTCCATGGGTTTAATCCTGACAGGAATATTGGAGTGGGTTGCCATTTCCTCCTCCAGGGGATCTTCCTGACCCAAGGATCAAATTTGAGTCTCCAGCGGCTCCTGAATTGGCAGGAGCATTCTTTACCACTGAGCCACCTGGAAGCCCTTCCAAGGATTTGTGCACAGTTTTATGCATATGTTTATGCTCCTGTGTCTTTTTCCCTTAAGTAGTCTACATTGTATAAGTGTCAGACTCCATAAAATCTAGGTCGGGAACAGATGTGTTAGGTTAGGTTAATAGCAGGAGGTGATATTTAGGCACAGCTTTCTGCCCGTGAGCAACTCCACAGTCAGGCCAGGAGATGCAACAGAAGAAGAACAAGGTGAAATTAAGTCCAAAAGACAGACTCAAAGTCTGGCTTTTCCCTCTCAATGCTGTGTGAGCTTAGGCAAGTCACTGAACGGCTCTGAGCCATCCCTTCTCTACCTGTAAAGCAACCCTGCACACAGTTATTTAGAACAAAAAGAGAAGAGGTTATTTATATACAATATATATACTCTATATAGCAGTATATATGTTTATACAGGACAGGCCACACCCACATCACGGGCTAGATGCTGATGCTAGGAGGGCTGTTCCCTGATCCCAGTTAAATTTAACTCTAGCAACAACCCTGTAGCAGGGTGGGGGAAAGATGGGGGCAGATGGGACAGGTATTCTGTAGAGGAGGAAACTGGGGCAGAGAGCACCTAAGAATCGTTTTCAAGGTCACAAGGATAGACTCAAATCCTAAGACCTGCATGGTTTTCACTCTAGGAGTAAAGAGTAGATCCTAAGGTGAGGTCATGGCAGGGAAACCGCTGCGCAGATGAGGATGTGTAGGGAATTCACATGTCACACGCACTCTGCTCCTGGAGCCAGGGCAGCATCTAGGCTTTCCTGCCAGAGGAGGGGACAGGGTTAGCAAAATGCTTCTTCATGGGGAACGGGCTAGGGATGATGCCAGCCAAACCTATTGAAATGCCTTCAAGCCACCCTCCTTAGTCCAGGGTCTCTGTGGGTTTCCCCAGCACCACAGCTGTACCCAGTTCCTATCCTGCTCCTTGCCTAGCCAAGCCCCAGTCCAACCACTCAAGAAGGAAGTTCTGGCTAGGAAGCTCAGTTCTGTTACACTGCTCCCTAAGGTAGGGGGTCGAGAACCCTGCGTTGATTCTGAGTAGGGTACAGGTCCCAAAAGTGTGTTGTTTGCCAGGTCATTTGCCAGCTTCTCTGAACCTTGGCTTCAGTAGCTATAAAATAGAATTAGCCTATCGTATTTCTCTTGCAGGCTTGTTCTAAGCAATAAATATTATCATCTACTGGCAGTTTCTGTATGCCAAACCCTTTGCTAGCCACTTTTCTCACCTTGTCTTATTTAAGCCTTGTAACAACCCTGTGAGGTATCTGGTATGATCGCATCCATTTTACACATGAATAAACTGGCTTCCCTGGTGGCTTAGTGGTAAGGAATCCACCTGCAATGCAGGAGACTCAGGCTCGATCCCTGGGTTAGGAAGATCCCTTAGAGAAGTAAATGGCAACCCGCTCCGGTATTCTTGCCTGGGAAATCGCATGGACAGAGGAGCCTGGTGGGCTGCAGTCTATGGGGTTGCAAAGAGTTGGATACGACTGAGCAACTAAACAACAAACTGAATAGACAGTAGAAAGCGAGGATTTGAACCCACGTCTGCAGGACTCCAAGATCCTCACAACATTAGCTCCGGTGCTCTGTAGCGAAGGCACCTTTAAAAACGTCTTGCCCAGCCAGGAGTCACCTCCGGTGGGAACTGATGCTTCCAGCTTGTCTGTGTTTCAGTCCCTCAGCCCGCACACCTGCCTGCCGCCTCCCGGACAGGTGGCCCAGCCTTGTGCAGCCCACAGACCGCACCCTGATTCTGCCGACTTGCTGTCTGCCCTGAGCCAGGAGGAGCAGGACCTCATCGGGCCGGTGGTCGCCTTGGGGTACCCCCTGCACAGGGCTATCGTGGCTCTGCAGAAGACGGGACGGCAGAGCCTGAGCCAGGTGAGCGGGGGCCCGGAGCTGGGGGCTGTGGAGCTGCAGTCGGGTCAGGGGCCACCTTGTTTTTATCTTCAACTTGAAGCTATTTTGTGTTTGTCTTTGGAGGCAGGATTTCAGCTTCGAATTAATTATTGGGTATTGTGATCAAGTTTCTAGATCCTAAGGCTACCATCTCCATGGGAGTTTAGCAACACTCCCCATGCCTCCTTGGGGAGTCTCAATATTCTACTCCTGTCCAAGTCTCTACCCCAAAAGTAGGATTGAAGCTTTGGGCAGTCACAAATCTTTCCAGAGCTGCCCAATAGCACTTTCTGCGACAGGAGAGATGTTTTATTCCTGTGTTGTCCAATATAGGAACCACTAGCTATATGTGGTTACTTGAATGTGGCTAGTATGACTGAGAATTGTTATTAATTATAATTAAATGAAATTAAAAGTTAAATAGCCACATACAGCTACCATATTGGATGGCACAGCTCTGACAACTTCCCTCAACAGTTAATCCATACCCATATCTATCTCTCTTTCCATATACCCACCCATCAATCTAGTCATAAGTATTTTCTGGACCTTCCGTGGTGTTTAGATGCAGCTAGGAGCTATGGGGAAACCAGTATTGTGGATTGGGTGCCCAGGAAGCAGACTCCAGTGGGATTCGGCATACAGAGATTTATTAAGGAGACCCTTGGCAACAACTTCTGGGGAAGGGAAAGGACAGAAGCAGGGATGGGTAGAGGGAGAGGTTGAGCTTTATAGACCCGGTGACAGCCAACCCCATAGCTCTGAAGCATATATGGCCCTTTGGAGTTGTCATAATTGGGGATGAGATGGTCAGGCCTTCTTACATCTGCCTTAACGAGTCACCAGATATAGAAAGAGGGTGACTTGAGAGACGTGATCTCTGCAGCTAAGGCAGCCCCTGAAGGGACAGATAGCTGATAGTTTCTACCACCTCTACCACCATCTGCAGTAAGACCTCCAAGGAAGGTGTATCTGGAAGGGGTATCTTAGAGTCTACCACACCAGGTTCCATTTTAAGGACTCCACTCATATTGGGAGAAGAGCAGATACCAGTAATAACAAGGGTAGGTAGCACCCCAAGGTGCTCTAATATTTGGGAGCAAGTCTTGACCCCCCCCCAATACAAGCTAACAATACAAGAACACCTGCAGGAGAGTGAGAACCCCTGAATTGCCAAAAGAGAGGTGCTGGTGAGAAGATGCCTGGGAGCAAGAAGGAACAAGAATGATTCGGGGGTGTTTCAGTTATCTATTGCCGTGTAACAGTCACCCCAACACTTAGTGGCTTAATACTACAACCATGTGTTCACTCATGAGTCTCTGGGTTGGCAGTGTTGGTGGAGTCAGCAAGGAAGTTCTTCTGCTGGTCTCACCTAGGGTCTCTCGTGTGGCTACAGTTTGTGACCCAGCTAGAGCTGAATAGTCTAGGATGACCTTGATCCCAATCCAGTGGTTGGTGAAACTTGTCAACTAGGCCACATAGCTCCAGCAAGCTAGCCCATGTGTTCCCAAGAGTACAGGAGTGGAAGATGCAAAGCCTCTTGAGGTTGAAATTATAGTCACTTGTGCCTTATACTGTTGGCCACAGCATGTCATAGACCAGATCAGATTAAAAGGGTAGAAAAATAGACTCTACCTCTTGATGGGAAAAGCTGCAAAGAGTGTATGACTGTTCTTAATCTACCATGGGGAGGTTTCCGTAATTGAGAAAGGCTTCATGAAGGTATAAAGCCTTGAGCTGAACTTTAAGGATGGATAAGACCTGAATTTGAAGAAATGAGAAGGATGATCTTCCAGGCAGGAGGAACAGTATCAGCTAAGAGGCAGAGGCAGGAAGGACTTGGGAGGACCTGATCCAAGTCTTCCTGAATATATGATGAGGGCTGGTGGGAGATAGGACAGGAAGGGGAATAGAGGGAAGGTTAAGGGTTCCTTGAAGGCTGGCCTGAGAGTTTTCTCAAAGACCCCACAGCAGAAGGGAGGCATGAAAGCACTGTGAGCAGGGGCAGGAGGTGGGCATTGAATATCATCATCTGAATCCCTTCCCCCCACCTGAATGTTGCATCCCTTTTTGCGTTGTTTTCTATGCACCAGGGTTATTGGTGGTTGGAAAGCTGAGCCACAGGTATTGAATGGGACATATTTCCTTCTGCTGTCTGCCCCACCACCATCGGTGGACTTGGAGACCCTCTCCCTAGGCCCTGATTGTGGCCATATGTTGAGTCTCTGAGGTCTGGAGCTGCCTGCTTCTGGGTGAGGGAGTGGCAGAGGGAGAGTGGCTCAAACAGGCGCCAGATCAGGATGTGCTGCTGCAGGTTGAGGAGCTGGAAGGCACTGGGTCCTCTTCCCCACCCACTCCTGCTCCCGCTCCACTCGGTTCATCAGTCCTAGAGGAAAGGGTTCAGCGTGGTGCCCCCCACATATGGTGGCTAACATGGTGGAGGAGATGGCGGGGGTGCTGCTAATATTTACTGAGCACCTTTGTGCCAGCCCCTCAGTCTGAGAGTATTCATTTAGGTCTTCTCATTTCTGCAAGGTCGCTTTTACTGTTTCCACTTTGCAGATGAGGAAACTGAGGTCAGAGAGGTTCACATAATTAGTCACTGGTGGCACCAGGGTGGATGCCGGGCTGGTGTGGCTCTGAATTTTGTTACACTGTGCTTTTCTCTTTTTCTGTGTGAAAATCTTCCAGGGCAGCACCTTAGGTTGATCTGAGACTTAAGAGTAGATTTAAAGTTGCTTCCACCTTCAGCTGCTGCTGCAAAGCCGGGACCTGGCCAAGAAGCAGTCCAGAAGCACCGTGAGGGGCCAGGCCCGTGGTGGGGACTCTGACATGCCTCCCCAGCCCCTCCAGACCCTGCGACAAGGCTGAGGTCTCAGGTCATCGCTGTGGGGTCTGAAGATTAGCTGGGGGCAGCACAGGGCATTGGCCTCCCTCTGGGTGTGCTGGAAGGGTCTCACTGCGTCAGGAGCACTGTGTTTCCAGACACAGACTGACCACGCGCCTGGTGGGCCTTCTCCCAGTGAGCATTCCGGGGCTAGGCTCTGAGGGGTGGGCCTGAGGGCCATCGGATGACTCTATCTTGATCTCCCTGACCACGTTCTCTCTGTTTGGTGACGTTCCACCTTTAACTGGACGTCTCTTTTGGGTTCACAGCCCTTCTCCCCATGAAAGACAAATACTACAATAATTCGTCTTTGGTCAGAGATGAACAGCAATGGTCCAGGAGGGTGGGCATCAGTTGATGGAGACAGGGCACTTGGAAAAACCAGGGAGAGAGGAAGAAATACAAAACCTAAGCTTTGTCCATCACTCCTTCCTTCCTGCCTCAGGATCAATGTGCCCACTGACTGCCTGCAGGACAGGCATGGGTGGCACTTTTGAGGGTCCATAGGCCAGACCCAGGCTTACCCTTAGACTCTAGACACATCATGGCCCCTCTCTGAGCCTCATTTCCCCCATTCACAGAATGGAGGAGAATATGTTTATGATCAGTGACTGCTGGGGGTCCCATCCTGGGGTCTGAAGGTGACATCCTCACCCACTCTGGGGCCTGAGTTAGGCCCAGTTACGGACCAAGCAGGAGAGTCCTTACAAATGCAGATTCTCGGAACCTACTCTGCAGGATCAGTAGATCTGGAGTGGGCCCAGGGGCCTATCATTTTAAAAGATCTGCAGATGGTTTTGATACGCAGCCTGGCTTGGGTCTACTGGGTTGGACTGAGTCAGAGACCCTTAACCTTGGCTGCACACAAGAATCACCTGGAGAGCTGTAAAAATCCCAGTGCCAGTCTTCCCCCCTACCAGTCCTATCAGGGCCTCTGGATGTGACCATCATCAGCAGGGTATGGGCAGTGATACTGAGACACCAGTGTTTTGTTGCTATTGTTTTGTTAACTTTTTATTTTGTATTGGAGTATAGCTGATTAACAATGTTATGATAGTTTCAGGTGGATAGCAAAGGGACTCAGTCATACATATATATGTATCCATTCTCCCACCTAATCCCCTCCCATCCAGGCTGCCACCTAACATTGAGCAGAATTCCATGTGCTATTCAGTAGGCTTTTGTTTGTTATCCATTTTAAATATATCAGTATGTACATGACCATCCCAAACACCCTAACTATTCCTTCCTCCATGCTTCTGCCCCTCTACTAATCATAAGTTCATACTCTAAGACTGTGAGTCTGTTTTGTGAGTAAGTTCATTTGTATCATCTTTTTTTAAGATTTCACGTATAAGGGATGTCATAGGGTATTTCTCCTTCTCTCTCTAACTTCTTTCACTGTATGACAATCTCTAGTTCCATCCGTGGTGTTGCAAATGGCATTATTTCATTCTTTTTAATGGCTGAGTGATATTCTATTATATATGTGTACCACATCTTTTTTACCCATTGCTCTGTCAATGGACATTTAGGTTGCTTTCATGTCTTGGCTATTGTAAACAGTGCTGCAATGAACACTGGGTATATGTATCCTCTTGGACCATGTTTTTCTTTGGATATATGCCCAAGAATAGGATTGCAGGGTCATATGGTAGCTCTATTTTTAGTTTTTTTAAGGAATCTCCATATTGTTCTCCATAGTGTCTCTACCAATTTACATTCTCACCAACAATGTAGGAGGGTTACCTTCTCCACACCCTCTCCAGAATTTATTGTTGAGGCACCATAGTTTTAAAGCTTCCAGGTAGCTACAGTCAGCACTGAGGCTGAGAACTTTTGCTGTAGATGAACAGACCTTCGGAAACTCTGTCTACTTGCAAGCCAGCTCAAAGTTCCTCTTCTAGCAACGGGACCCATGGACAAGGCACTGGCCAAGAAGTCAGGTGATCTGGGCCCTAGTCCTGGGACCCTGGTCCGCCCTGCCTGAACCTCAGTTCCCCCAACTGTGCAAGGAGAGCTGAGTTGGTTGGTTTTCAAAATGTGCCCAGAGCAAGGTTCCTGGGGTGAGGGCCCTGAACTCTGGGCTCCCTCTACCTCTAGCCCCCAGTTCTCCCAGAGCAACTGCAACGTCCCCCTGTTACTGTTGAAGCCCCCTGGAGCTTGGACAGTTCAGAGGCTAGAACAGTTTGAAAGTCATTAGTCTATGTGGTCTGTTTTATGCTCCGTCCCGAAGGTGTGCAGAAATCCGACTTGCTTTTTTCCTCCACTCGTACCCATACTTTAATCATCTGGAGCCTTCATTTGGCACCAATTCCCTGTAAATCCTACTTTGATTTGCCTGGTGCTCGTGTTTTCTTGTATCTGGTTTATCTCCCCCAAGGAGCTATGAGCTCCCGGAAGGTAGTTCTTAATTTAGTTTATAAACACAGCTTACATTTACTGAGCTCCTTCTGCCTGCCTGCCGTGCTAGATGCTGGGACACAGTGGTGTCCTCCTGTGGGACAAAAGCTTGGTGGATGAGAAAGCTGAGGAAGATAGTAGGCAGTTACAGAGCTGTAGGTGTGGGGAAGCCTTGAGTGCTGTGGGAATACCTGATGGAGATGGAGGTGGGACTGGGGGTAGGGAGAGGCTACCCAGGGCCGAGGAGTGAGGCTGGCCTTGGCCTTGGAGCCGGATAGGCAGGAGTCTGGGGGTGCTGAGGGAAGCAGCCAAGGCTGCTGACAGAGCGACCAGGTCTTTGAACATGGGGTTGGAAGGCAGAACTTTATCCTGAGGGCGAAAGCAGCCCCTGGTGAATAAGCAGGGAGTGGCCGGAAGAGGTGCTCAGCCTGTGGGCCCTTGGCTGTCCCCTCCCCTTCCCGCCTTGGTGCAACACTGCTGTGGGGTGGGGCCCGTGGAGTCCTGGACCGCACAGATATTGCCTGTGTGGAGCGGGGGTGGGGGTGCACAGGGCTGGCTGGACAAGGAGGCACCCTCACACAGGTGAGTGCTCACCGGGGAGGGTGGGCAGGCTGGGTGGATGGTGGGTAGACACCCGCCTCTGAGGCCTGGCCTGTTCCCCACCTAGGTTCTGGGAACACCTTGACCCTCCCCGACAGCTCTCTTCCTGGACTCCAGCCCCCAGCTTGGACAGTTGGTGAGGCTTTGCGGTCCACCTGTCCCCAGGGAGGCCTCTGACCCTCCTCTGTTGCCTCCTGGAGCTCTGGGGCCATGCTGTGTATGGCTGGTTGCCCGGTCAGCCTGGCCCTGAGCCCCGCCCTCCTGAGGCCCTGGGGTGCCTCCTCCACCGCACCTGCTGTCCTGCTCATTCCTCTTTCTGTCCTTCCCTCTGTGCCCCTTTCCTGCCCAGTTTCTCAGCTACCTTAGCGCCTGTGACCGGCTGCTGCGACAGGGCTACGAGGAGGGCCTGGTGGATGAGGCCATGGAGATGTTCCAGTTCTCCGAGAGCCAGGTCAGCAGAGCCTCCTGCCCGGGCCCCCGGCGAGGGGACAGCGAGGGGAGGGGTGGGGTACCCACGCAGGCCTGGGGTGCAGGGGCTGACCAGCACCAGAGGCAGCCTGGGGGGCTCAGGAGACAGCCTACTTGCTGAACCCCAGGGAGAAGGAGACAGCCGAGGGAGATGAGACATGGAGAAGGCAAGAGGACCCAAGGGGAAGGGGTGGGGAGGAAACAGGAAGCAGAGCTCTGTGCCAAGTCGCTTCAGTCGTGTCCGACTCTGTGCGACCCCATGGACCGTAGCCCGCCAGGCTCCTCTGTCCATGGGATTCTCCAGGCAAGAATACTGGAGTAGATTGCCATACACTCCTCCAGGGGATCTTCCCAACCCAGGGATTGAACCTGCATCTCTTACATCTCTTGCATCGGCAGGCGGGTTCTTTACCACTAACACCACCTGGGCAGAGCTTTATAGCTGAATCAACCCAGCAAATATTGACTGGCTCCTCTTTGTCGGACACCCAGACAGGAGCCAGGCAGGTAGCATGATGATGCTTGAACTCTCTTCAGGGAGTTTGCCACCTACCTGGAAACCCAGGCTTGAGGTTGTGGCCCCAGTTAGGGGGACATTCTGAGAGCCCAGTGAGTATGACCTGTCCACAGTCGGCAGTTGGCCAAGGCAGAGCAGACTTCCCGGAGACTGTGGGAGGGATGCCGAGGGGTGCGGGGAGAGGCAGGGAAGTTTTGAGCAGTGGGGTCAGAGGAGGCAGGCAGAGGCTGTGCTGTGTGAAGGTTTGGGCCCTGTGCAGAGACCCTGTGCTGTGCATCCTCTGGGCACCAGTATGCAGCCTTCTCTTCCTGCCCCAGTGCAGGGCGTGAGCACAGGCGGTCAGGAGGGAGTGGGGGAGGGGAAGTGACGGCAAGACAGACAGAGCCAGCAGCCAGGCTGGGGCCTCCTTCCTTGGCACAGGAAGCGAGGTTTGAGCCCACGTGGCCTCATGTCATTGAGATACAGGAAAACCATAGGTGCTGGCCAGGATCAGGCTCACCTGGCCTGTGGGGTCACAGCTTTCTGGGGGTATGTAGAGTGGGTACTTGGGAGGGGACTACCCAGGCCAGAGGCCCAGCCTCCCAGAGCCCCCCATGCCCTCTCCGCCTCCTCTTCCTCAGGCGGGGGACTTCCTGCGCCTCTCAGAGCAGTTCAGCGACATGGGCTTCCAGCAGGACCGCATCAAGGAAGTGCTACTGGTCCATGGCAACCGCCGCGAGCAAGCGCTGGAGGAGCTGGTGGCCTGTGCCCAGTGACCTCCAGGGCACCTAGCAGTGTTTGTGCATCCTGGTCCTGACCCGGACCTGGCGATCCACCCTGACTGTGTCGTGACAACTCCATGGGAGCAACAAAGCAGTGCATGCTTCTTGTGAAAACGCACACAACGCCAAGGGTGGGGGTAGATACTGTGGAGGAGGCAGAACTTCACCTCTGAGGACCTCACAGGGGCTCTGTGACAATAAGACAGGTTAACCAGAGAAAAACCAAAATGTATTAATGCAGGTGGCAAGCATCGTGCCCAAGAAACTTCCATGAAAAGTAACTCAAGATAGCAATTTAGAACTCTGGCTGGGAAAGATACCCTAGAGAAGAGAAAGGCTAACTACTCCAGTATTCTGGCCAGGAGAATTCCATGGACTGTATAGTCCATGGGGTTGCAAAGAGTTGGACATGACTAAGTGACTTTCACTTTATATAGCATTTACAACAAACAATACATTTGTGGAGAAATGACAGGACAAAGGAAAACAGTTTCAGGCTTCCAAGGATGGCAAACTGTAGGGAGGTAGATATATGAAGGGAACTAATGAAGTAAGATTTATTTGCAAGTTCCCTGGTGCACTGCTGGGCTGACAAGAATCTGTCTCCAGATTCTGCCTCAAGGCAGAAAAGAGGGGAAGGGAAGAGAGAACTTTTCTTGCATTTTCTGCTTAATTGCCTTTAGCTCAGTTATGTCAAGGGTTTCCCAGATGGCTCAGTGGTAAAGAATCCACCTGACAATGCAGGAGATGCAGGAGACACAGGTTCAATCCCTGGGTTGGGAAGGCCCCCTGGAAAAGGAAATGGCAACCTGCTCCAGTATTCTTATCTGGAGAATTCCTGTGGACAGAGGAGACTGGTGGGCTGTAGTCTGTGGGGCCACAAAGGGTTGGATGCGACTGAGCAGAATTATGTCAAAGAGGCATATTTTGGGATGACATTCCGATTTCCTTCAATATCAGAAGAAGCAGCTTAAAGAGGTGAAAGTGGCTCCTTGTGAGGAGGGCCAGATGAGGTGCATAGGCGACAAACTGCGTGTTTTCTTATAAGCCTTGTAAAATGATCTCTATTTGATTCTTTAAACTATGGGCATTAGTAACTTTAAGAAAATTAAAACAAATAAATATCGTGTAGTTCTTTGGGTCCTGGTTTCTGGTCTTGGTGTGGAAAGTATATCTAACTATGGGTGAGAGAAACGAATTCTGATTTTGGTTCTGCTGATGACTGGCTCAAGGCCTCTTTGGGCTTAAGTTTCCCCAGGGAAAGTGGAGTGACTGGACCTGACTGCTATCCATAAGAGTGCCCTGGGGAGTTTGTTAAAATGTCCAAAGCCCCACTCCTGGATAATCTGATTCAGAAAGTCCAGTTTGGCAGCCCGCAGGAATCTGTTTTGTTTTTATAAGAAGCTCTCTGTAGATTCTTTCATTTTCCTTTTTATTTTTTAAATCACTGTTTTGGTTATATTGTTGACCCTCTTCATTCATTTTCCTCCTCTCCCATGCCCCACCTCTGGCAACCACTATCTGTTCTTTGTATCTGTGAGCTTGTTTTTGTTTAGTAGTCCACATATAAGAAAAATACAGATTTGTCTTTCTGTGTCTGATTTATTTCACTTAGTGTAGTGCCCTCAAGGCCCATCCACGTTGTCGCAAATGGCAAGATCTCATTCTTTCTTATGGCCAATAATATTCCGTTCTATACACACCAGAGTTTCTTTATCCATGCATCCGTCAATAGACACTTATGTTGTTTCCATTATCTTGGTTGTTTCTAATAATATGGCAGCGAACCTTTGGGCTGCAGATACCTTTTCAATTTAGTGATTTCGTTTTCTTCAGATAATATCCAGAAGTGGAATATTTGGCTCATATGGTAGCTCTATTTTTAATTTCTGGAGGAACCTCCACACTGTTTTCCAGTTTTCCATAATGGCTGCACCAATTTCCCTTCTCACAATGTGCATGAGGGTTCCCTTTTCTCCATATCTTCACAAACACTTGTGATTTCTTGTCATTTTGATAATAGTCATTCTGATAGGTGTGAGATGGCATCTCACTGTGGTTTTGATTTACATTTCCCTAATAATTAATGATGTTTTCATCTGTATGTTGGCCTTCTGTATGTCTTCTTTGGGAAAAACTCTATTTAGATCTTCCCATTTTAAAATCATATTGTGTGGGTGGGTTTTTTTTTTTTTTTTTTTTGCTGTTGACTTGTATGAGTTCTTTTTCTAAAATTAATTTTTAATTTTTTATTATTTTTTGGCCATACCATGGGCCATGTGGGATCTTAACTCCCTGACCAGGGATCCAATCATACTCTCTGTGGTGGTGAAAGCTCAGAGTCTTAACCACTGGACCACGAGGGAAGTCCCTGAATGGGTTCTTTATCTATTTTGGAGATTAGCCCCTTATCAGATATATGATTTGCAAGTATTTTCTCTCATTATGTAGGTTGCCTTTTCACTCTGTTGATGGTTTCCTTTGCTGTACAGAGCTTTTTATAATAGTTTGATGTAGTCCCACTTGCTTATTTTTGCTTTTGTTGCATTTGCTTTGGGTGTCAGATTAAAAAATTCCTCTCCCGGACCGACGTCAAGGAGCCTTACTGCCTATGTTTTCTTCTGGGAGTTTCATGGTTTCACATCTAACATTCAAGTCTTTAATTGCCTTGAGCTAATTTTTGTGTGTGGTGTGAAGGAGTGGTGGGGTTTTATCTTTTGCAGACAGCTGCCCAGTTTTCACAGCACCATTCATTGATGAGCTTTTGTTGTTCAGTCGCTCAGTCAGGTTTGACTCTTTGCGACCCCATGGACTGAAGCGTGCCAGGCTTCCCTGTGCTTCACCAACTCGCGGAGTTTGCTCAAACTCATGTCCATCGAATAGGTGATGCCATCCAACCATCTTGTCCTCTGTTGTTCCCTTCTCCTCCTACCCTCAATCTTTCCCAGCATCAGGGTATTTTCCAGTGAGTCAGTTCTTTGCATCAGGTGGCCAAAGTACTAGAGCTTCAGCTTCAGCATCAGTCCTTCCAATGAATATTCAGGACTGATTTCCTTAAGGATTGGATCTCCTTGCAGTCCAAGGGACTCTCAAGAGTCTTCTCCAACACCACAGTTCAAAAGCATCAATTCTTCAGTGCTCAGCCTTCTTTATAGTCCAACTCTCACATCCTTACATGTCTACTGGAAAAACCATAGCGTTGACTAGATGGACCTTTGCTGGCAAAGTAATGTCTCTGCTTTTTAACATGCTGTTTAGGTTTGTCATAGCTTTTCTTGCAAGGAGCAAGCATCTTTTAATTTCATGACTGCAGTCATCATCTGTAGTGATTTTGAAGCCCAAGGAAGTAAAGTCTCTCACTGTTTCCATTGTTTCCCCATCTATTTGCCATGAAGGGATGGGACCAGATGCCATGATCTTCGTTTTTTGAGTGTTCATTTTAACCCAGCTTTTCACTCTTCTCTTTCACCTTCATCAAGAGGTTCTTTAGTTCCTCTTCGCTTTCTGCTATAAGAGTGGTGTCATAAGGGTGTCATTGAAGATACTGACTGTCTTTTCTCCATTGTATATTCTTGGCTCCTTGATTGTAAATTAATTGACCACATATATGTGTGGGTTTATTTCCTGGCTCTCTAGTCTGTTCCATTGATCTGTGTATCTGTTTTTTTTTTTTTCCATTTATTTTTATTAGTTGGAGGCTAATTACTTTACATCATTGCAGTGGTTTTTGTCATACATTGAAATGAATTAGCCATGGATTTACATGTAGTCCCCATCCCGGTCCCCCCTCCCACCTCCCTCTCCACCCGATCCCTCTGGGTCTTCCCAGTGCACCAGGCCCGAGCACTTGTCTCATGCACCCAACCTTGGCTGGTGATCTGTTTCACCCTAGATAATATACATGTTTCGATGCTGTTCTCTTGAAACATCCCACCCTCGCCTTCTCCCAGAGTCCACAAGTCTGTTCTATACATCTGAGTCTCTTTTTCTGTTTTGCAAATAGGGTTATCGTTACCATCTTTCTAAATCCCATATATATGTGTTAGTATACTGTAATGGTCTTTATCTTTCTGGCTTACTTCGCTCTGTATTGTGTATCTGTTTTTATGACAATATCTTGGTGGATTTTTAGTCAATGTAATGGGCCCATGGCCAGTGGGTCTGACTTCCGCTTTCACAGTCTGTGATCCTATGGCAGTTTTCCCTCATTTGGGGATTGGGACCAGAGTTGCCTTCCGTCATCCCAAGCCTATCTTCTGGAGGTCCCCAGGGACTGAGGGGACAAATTGCTGGAGCTGCCCATGACAGGCAAGTAGGGGTCAGAGGACAGGACGCTGATGCCTCCCTCTGTCCTTCCCAGTTGCCCTGAGCATTGACCTGGAGCATTTAGTGCAGAACTGAAATCTCTCAGCCCCTTCCCCCCAATAAACAGGGCTGGACCTGGGGCTGAGGCCTGTGAAAAGACAAATAAAATCTTGTTTGAACATGCAGTGAGGACCTTAGCAGGCCTATACAGGCCTAAACAGAACCCGGGTCTTCTGAGGCCCATCCAGTCCCTGAGTATTTTCCACTAAGCCTCAAGGCCTGCCAACTTGAAATTACATTAAAAATATCCTTTGCCCTTAAAATTTTGCTTTAAATAACTTGCAGGCAATATAAAACTATTTGAGAAATCTGTTAGATGGCATAAAGTTAGTAAAAAAAATATAATTGCACTTGGAAAAGACAGGAAAATTAAAATTCAATTCTAAGATACAATGTTAAATCCAAAGTTATTTCTGTTTTGATTAAGGTAATCTGGCCTTAGTCTGCTGCTTTATTAAGTCCTCTTGATTCAGTTCAGTTCAGTTCAGTTGCTCAGTCATGTCCGACTCTTTGCGACCCCATGAAACGCAGTACGCCAGGCCTCCCTGTCCATCACCAATTCCCAGAGTTTACTCAAACTCATGTCCATCGAGTCGGTGATGACATCCAGCCATCTCTTCTTCTGTTGT